TCAAGTGCTTGTTTGGACCAAGTGCTTTCTTGGACCAAGTGCTTGCTTGGACCAAGTGGTTGCTTGGACCAAGTGCTTGCTTGGACCAAGTGCTTTCTTGGACCAGATGCTTTCTTGGACCAAGTGCTTTGTTGGACCAAGTGCTTTCTTGGATCAAGTGCCTGCTTGGACCAAGTGCTTGCTTGGACAAAGTGCTTTCTTGGATCAAGTGCTTTCTTAGACCAACTGCTTTCTTGAACCAAGTGCTTACTTGGACCAAGTGCTTTCTTGGACCAAGTGCGTGCTTGGACCAGGTGCATGCTTGGACCCAGTGCTTTCTTGGACCAAGTGCTTGCTTGGACCAAGTGCTTGCTTGGACCAAGTGCTTGCTTGGACCAAGTACTTGCTTGGATCAAGTGCTTTCTTGGACCAAGTGATTTCTTGGACCAAGTGCTTTCTTGGTTTAAGACGCATTATTCTTTCTGTACAAATACAGCAAATACCGAACTTTTATGTGCGCACGAACCAAGATGATGTAGCTCCGGTATGTGTATTTGAACATGGGCGACCCGGATATGCAATAGCATTCAGGTCGTTCAATGATTTTCCCTTTGCGTATAGAGATCCATGTGCTTCCAAAGCATTTGTCGGCAGACACTAGGGCATCGCAGGCGCCAAACTTTTCTGTGCACACGAACCAAGCGGGAATTGCTCCGGTAGGTGTGGTATTTGAACATGGGCCACCCGAATATGCAATAACATTCAGGCGGTTCGATGTTTTTCTCTACGCCTATAGGGATAAATGTGTTTTCAGAGCATTTGTCGGCAGACACTGCCGTTATCACAAGCGCTGAACTTTTTTGAACGAATCTGACAGCCCAAAGACGAATCTGAGGGCCTGGTACGGTACTGACCGAAGATATCAAAGTTTGAGGTACTTGTTGTGGCCAGCCCAAGATATTAATATGGTACCATGTTGTGGCAGTTGACTACGCAACGCTTCTTGGTCTGTGCGTGAAGAACAGCGCTCTACTCTGCATCAGCGCGATCGTCCAGGTTATGTTGAGTTGGCTGGCCTGGCAATCTACATGCTAAAAACAAGCTTTGTTGTAGGACCGCAAACGCACATTACCCAATACAGTCCATTGGTATTACCATACAGATTATATGTTGTATTACAAGGTATCTAGTTACTGAGCAGCACTTTTTGCCTGGTCCCTCTCGGCAGCTCGTTTGAGAGCCAGGGCTGCCTTCACCACATTGCCGCGAGTGATGAGCCCCACCTGCACCGCACCACAGCAGCACACACGCACAGAATCAGTCTGCAGTGCTAAACCAAGTGTACAGTGTTGTCAAGTAATCTCATAAGTTGTACATGTCCTTGCAGGCTGAAGCGCAAGGTGCTTAGTGCGTGCTGGCATGTCGGACCGAGGTGTACGTTCGTTCCTCATCATTCCTGCGGGGCGCGTACCAGTTTGCCGTTGTCGTCCACCACAGGCAGCCGGCGGTGCTGATTCTCCAACAGCATCCTGCCAGCAGCAGGCGATAGGGTTGGGGAGGGAGCAGAGAGAGAGAAGGGAAGGCAAGCAAGAGAGAGAGCGGGGGGCAGAGAAGGGGAACACTGGATGAAGCGGCGATTGGGGTTGATGGGGTGTGGAAGGGGGAAACAGAAACTATTCATGGGAGGAAAAGAACAGGAGGAGGTACGGGGGTAGGGACAGGAGGCAAGAAAACGGGTGTGACCTGGAAGCCTAGACTTTCAGAAAACAGGCATGGTTGCAGGGAGGCATGGGGGCAGAGAGGCATGGTTGCAGGGAGGCATGGGGGCAGAGAGGCATGGGGGCAGAGAGGCATGGTTGCAGGGAGGCATGGGGGCAGAGAGGCATGGTTGCAGGGAGGCATGGGTGCAGCCAGACCTGGCGGCCTGGTCGAGGTTGGTGGAGGGGTGCACGGTGTGCGGGTGGGGCGTCATGACGTCCGCCACCACCCGCCCCCTCGTCTTTATCAGCAGCTTCTGAATCTCCCTGAACGCCTGCCGTGCCACATGGGCGCGCCCGTGGCCGTGGGGAGGTGGGGATGGGAGATGAACATGGGAAGGTGGGGAGAGGGAGGGAAGGGGAGATTTTATGGTACGTGTGGGGGGCGTGTGTGGTGAAGGGAGAGCCCAGTGCAAGGTGCGGGGAGAATGGAGGAGACACAGCAGCAGCAGAAAAGGGGTGGTGGGCAGAAACACGTGGGTGAGTGGGCGAGAGAAGGGCCCGGGGGACGGGAAGGGTGTGAGTGGTGGTGTGAAGGGATGGGGGAGGTGCACCTTCCACGTGCTGCCGGCCTCGGGGAAAAGCGAGGAGGATGGCCCGGACGACCCCACACCTGCATGCCATGCCATGCCATGCCGTGTGCATGGGGGCAGGCGGGCACAGAGAGATGGCAGGTGCCATGGGGATGGGGGGCACGATCAGCAATGTAGTTGCTGGGATAGCAGGGGCTGTGTGTGAGAGGCGTGGCGAAGTGTGAGAGGAAAACGAAGAGAGTGAGATGTGAGAGCGCAGTGAGAGAGGTGAGGGGAGGAAGGAGAGAGAACAGGGTGGGGCGGGCAGGGAAGAGGAGGGGCGACAGGGTGTGGCGGGCAGAGGAGAGGAGAGGCGGGGAGAGCAGTGGGGGGGCGGGGAGAGCAGTGGAGGGGCGGGGAGAGCACAGGAGGGGCGAGGAGAGCAGTGGAGGGGCGGGGAGAGCACAGGAGGGGCGGGGAGAGCAGTGGAGGGGCGGGGAGAGCACAGGAGGGGCGGGGAGAGCAGTGGAGGGGCGGGGAGAGCACAGGAGGGGCGGGGAGAGCAGTGGAGGGGCGGGGAGAACAGAGAAGATGGGAGAAGAGCAGAGCGGATGAGGGGCGGGGCAGGGGCGCACCGGAGATGGAGTCAAGGGCGAGGAGGTCATAGTCCGACACCACGCCCACCTGCCATGCCGTGCCGTGCCATGCCATGCCATGCCATGCCGTGCCGTGCCATGCCATGCCATGCCATGCCATGCCGTGCCGTGCCGTGCCGTGCCGTGCCGTGCCGTGCCATGCCGTGTCGTGCCGTGCCATGCCATGCCGTGCCGTGCCGTGCCGTGCCATGCGTGCCGTGCCGTGCCGTGCCATGCCGTGCCGTGCCGTGCCGTGCCATGCCATGCCATGCCATGCCGTGCCGTGCCATGCCATGCCATGCCATGCCATGCCATGCCATGCCATGCCATGCCGTGCCATGCCATGTGTATCCGCACATGCGTGCATGGAGGGAGAGGCGGGTGCTGGTGTGAGGTGCGGGCGGGGAGATTGTGAATCTGGGGAAATGTGAGCGTGGCGTGTGTGTGCGTGTGATTCTGCCAAGCACGAGTGTGCATCACGAAATGCTGTAGAGCACTACATTTATCCCCCCTTTTCCCCCTCTCTCCCCCATCACCCACCCTCTCTCAGCCCATCCCTCTCCCCCTCCCCTGCTCACCAGGCGTCCCTCCGCGTCCACCACGGGCATGCCCGTGATGCGGTTCTCCACCAGCAGCTCCAGCGCTGCGCGCACACGGGGAGGTGGGGTGGGGGGAGGCGGGGGAAAGAAGGGGGGAGGGGGAGAAAGGGGGTGGAAGAGGGAGAAGGGGGAGACGGCGGGGAAAGGGGGAGGGGCGGAAGGGGGTGGAGAACAAGGGCGAGAGGTCGGACCGACTTAGAGCAAGCACCGCGTTTCCGTTGCGCTTGGTGAAATATTGCATACGTTGGCGGACCTTAATCGACGGTGCTGCACGGACCTTAATCGACGGTGCTGCACGGACCTTATTCGACGGTGCTGCACGGACCTTGATCGACGGTGGTGGAGGGCTGCGCGCACACGAGCTTGCCGGCCGACATGCAGTCGCCCACCGTCAGATGGTCCGTCGTCCGCACCGCCGCCCAGTCCACCGCCGCCTGCCCTCCCGCGCACAGCGCGCGCGCGCACAGGGGGGGATCATGGGAGGGAAGGACGAGCGGGGGGGGGGAAGTGCGCGCGATTGTTGCGCTCGCGGAGAGGAGACTCGGTGGATGGGGGGGCGAGCGAGAGATGGCGACGCGGGACGAGAGGGAGAATTGGGAGCGCTGGGAGAGCAACGAGAACGATCAGGACGAGCGGAAGGCGCGAGGGACGAGGGGAGGTGGGCGTGCGAGCAGCGCTGCTGCTGTCGCAAATCTACGCATCTGATGATTCGACCACACATGCTGGCGACGATGTGCGACACAACATGTCGCCAAAGACGGCTCACCCTGTCGCCCGCGGCCGCAACGACCAATCGCGGAGTCCGAGTTTGCCGAGTGATGGTCTGAGGAGTGCGGGGGACGCGGAGACTGGATGCGCGGATAGGCGGACAGCATGCGCCAGTGTCGGCGCGGGAGGACGCGAGAGCGGAGGTGCGCGCGACGGCGCGCGGAGCTAGGCGCGCGGGGAGAGAGGAGGCGACGGTGAGGGCCGCCATGGCGTCTGGCTATGTTACTTAGTGGCAGTGCGGCGCACGGCGAGTGCGGCGGGGGCAGCGCGCGGGACGGTGAGCGAGGCAGTCGAATGAGAAAGGTGCGCGCTTGGTAATGCGGGTGGCAAGTTGTGGATGCTGAGGTGAACACGAGGGGCGTATGCGTTGATTGGTGAATGCCCGTTTGTGGTTGTGTGACTGCTGATGTCAGCAATGGATGGTTAGAAGGTGCCACGTGCGCACGTTCAGAGATGACCACTCGAGATCTCCGTGTGTAAAACCGTGATGCGTATTTGAACTTAACTTATGTTCGATGCTTATCCTCTTGTCTTATGTTTATAGCCATTCAGGAAATATTGGATCATACCACAACTGTGTGGCCTCACACATGCAGGTGCACACCTCCAGCTCCACTTATGCTTGAATTCCGCATAATACATTGCAATGCGATTGGTAAAAAATGCCTCTAAATATGAGCGTGCTGCCAGCTGAGCACCAAGCAAGGGTGAAGCAGTCATGCATCTCAGACTCCTATGCGGCATGCTATGCTACATGAGAAGCAGCTTCAGCACCTCATCTGCGATCGCATCCGCTGCACCCTCACCACGCTCCCCTCCATCACTCCCCCCACCCTCCCCCTCGCCTTCCCCAGCAGCACTCCCCTTGCCCCCCCCATACTCGCTTGCCACCTGCCTGAGCGCGCTCCCCATGGCCTCCAGTGCAGCCGCGTCCCCCAGCAGGCGCGCTGCCACCGCTGCCACCTCCCCCGGTCCCACCTCCCCCACCACCTCCGGCACCACCTCCCGCCCCGCCCACCTGCACGCGCGCACAGGGGAGGCGGGCATGGGGGGAGGGGGGCGGGGTGGTGGTGGAAGTGAATTGGGGTGGGTGGAGGGGCAAACAGTGAACGGAGTGATGGCGCGCAGTGTTGTGCGGGTTGGCAATGGGCATGGCAAGGTGAGGGGTGGAGGAATGAAGCAGCAGGAGAGGCCATAAGCAGCAGCAAGGCAGAGGTGTAAGAGGTGAGGGGCGAGGAGGTGAGGGGCGAGGAGGTGAGGGGGTACCGGTTGGGCCAGGCGGGGAGGTGAGGGGGTACCGGTTGGGCCAGGCGAGGAAGGGCAGCGACCGGAGCAGCGAGGCGTTGAGGAAGCGAGTGAGCGCTGCTGCTGGGCCCGCCGGCAGCAGTGCCGGCAGCAACCCCAACACGCCCCCTGCCCCCCCTTGGAACAGCTGACGTGGAGAGAGGAGGGCGGAGGAGAGGGTGGAAAGGTGTGATATGGAGTGGTAGTGGTGATGCAAGGAAAGGCCGCAGCAAGAAGGCATTGAGGGTGGAGCGTGGAGGGAGCAGCATAGGAGGGACAACGCAGTGCGTTGACAGGCAAGTCATATCGAGTGGGCATCACCCGGTAGTAAAGCTGGTGCATGTAACTCATGGACGCACCTCCAGTGAGAGAGTGGGCAGGACGACCACCATGGGCACTCCCAGTGCTGCCAGCTCAGCAGTGTTGGTGCCCACCTGCCATGCCACGTCACCCATGCCACATGTCAGTCACATAGATTGCGGGCCAATCACAAAGCTAAGGATCACAGCAGAAAGTGATGTGGCGAGCACAGCAGCCCTGGTATGGCATGAGGCCGGCGGGCCAAAGTAGCACATGAAGCATGCTCACAGTGGTGAGGGCGAGCGAGCACTGCGAGAGCAGAGAATACGAGGGAAACGCCCTCCACACCTCTACCTCCACTCCCTCACCCCCCCTCGCCCCCTCCCCTCCCTCCCTCCCCTCCTCCTCTTCATCCCCTCTTCCATCTCCCCCTTCCCCATCCCCCTCCCCAGCAACCAGTCTCCCCAGATACTCCCACCCGACCCCCGCCCCTCCCCCTGGCGGAGAGGGCAGTGCAGCAGTGGCAGAGGGCGGCAGCAGGCGCGCGGGCAGCCAGGCGTGGCGGGCGATGAGCTCGTTGTGGCGCCGCGAGGCAAAGCGAGCCAGCGACGCCGGCTGCACCGTGGGGGCCAGAGGTAGGATGAAGCGCATGCGGGGGGCGCTGGGGGGAAGGGGGGGGGAGATGGGGGGAAGAGGATGGACGAGGAAGGAATGGATGGGAGTGAAGAGAGATGTGGGAGGTGGTGGATGTGTGGGCAGCGACAGACAGGTGATGGCTGCGGGTGGTGGCGACCTGCTTTCCCCCCCGCTTGCCCACGTGGTGTGGTGTGGTGGATCACCTGAGAGAGCAGGTCGTGCTGAGTGCATGGGCGACGGAGAGGAACAAGGGCACTCCCACCATCAGCTTCACGTCCTGCCACCACACACCATGTGGCACACGGGTGCACGTGCATGGCATGGCACAGAGCACATAGATACACACACGTGCATGAGTGTGACATACACGTGTGGGCATGCATGCATGGGCGTACACACTTGAGCTCACGAATGATCCAAGTGGCAACAGTGGTGGCTCACCTTGCTTCCCGGCAGCAGCCCCACCACCACCTCACGCTCCTTGCCATCCCCCTCTCCTCTGCTCCCCTGCTTCTCCTCGCCTCTCCGCCCCGCGTCCCCATGTCCCCCCTGCCCCCCCTGCCCCCCCTGCGCCTGCGCCACGGCGGAGAGGAAGAGGTCTCCCACCACGCGGGCGCGGCGGGCGGCCAGCAGGGCGGGCGGGATGGAAGGTAGCAGCACAGGCGAGCGCAGCGCACTCATGTCCACCAGCCTGGGGGAGGGGGGAGGGAGGGAGAGAGGAGGGGAGCGGGGGTGGAAGGTGGGGAGGGGCAGATGGTTTAAGATTGAATGGAAAAGCACCACCCCACCAGCCAACAGCCACCTTTGCTACCTTTCCCCCCGCTCTACAAACACATGTCCCTCTCCCCCCCCCGCAACCCACCAGGCAGCCAACACATGCCTCTTCCCCCCTGCAACCCACCAGGGCCAGCGGGCGGCATCCTCAGCATACACGAGGCAGCGGTACCCCAGGCGCCGCGCCAGCAGCACCGCATTCAGCTGCTCGCCGCCCAGAAACACCACCACGCCCCGCCTCCGCCACCCCCACTCCCCCTCCCCCTGCCCCTCCCCCTCCCCCTCCCCTTCCCCCTCCCCCTGGCCGCCCCCCTCCCCCTCCCCTTGTTGCCGCTGCTGGTCGTCTGTTCGTCCCCCCGAGGCTCCCCCCTCCGCTCTCTCTCCGCCCGTGTGCTGGCCCCCAGTGGTAGCAGCAGGGCGAGCGAAGAGCAGCATGTGCAGGAAATCTTGGGGGCCCTGGTGGGGAGAGAGGGGCGTGTGGGGAGGGGGTGGAGAATGAGGCATATGGGGCATGGCATAGGGGTAGGCGGTGCGGAGGGAGTGGAATGTGCATGTGGGTGCATTGCAGCAATCCCAGGCCCTCTATCTCAACTCAAACCATGCCCACCCACACTGCCCTGCACCCGCGCCCCCCCTCTTTGCATGCCCTCTCCCCCCCCCTGTGCGCGCACCGTGCAGCGGTGCACGTGCGGCATGGCGCGCAGCACGGCCAGCTCGTTGCCCGACGCGTGTGGACACGGCGCCAGCAGCACCTGGGAGGAGGCGGAGGGGGAAGCGGAGGGGCGGAGGGGGAGGCTCAGAGGGGGGAGTTGGGGGAATGGCAGGGCGCGGGGAGCGGAGAGCAGGTGGAATGGAAAGGATAATTCTTATGGGGGAGGGGACGAGGGGACGAAAGACGCGGGGGTTCTTGCGTGGGAGTCGCATGGCGCGGGGCGGGGGGAAGCAGGGGCGCACGGAGATGCGGAGGCGGCGCGGGTCGGGGCCGAACAGGCGCGCCAGCGACGCCACGACGGGCGCCACCCACGCCGCCACCTCGCCCGGCCCGTTCGTTATGATCGCCACGTCAGCACTGCCCACCGCCTCGCGCTCCTCCGCGCTCAGCCGCCCTGCCACGTCAGCGCCATCCGCAGCACCGGCGGCAGCGGCACGGCACGCTGCCGGTGAGGCGCGCTGCGAAGGGACGTCAAGAACCACGGGGGAGGTCAATGCGCGCCGAGTCGATGTGCGCGCGGTGGAGGCGGGAACGGGTCTGAGCGCGGAGCGACGGGAGCCATGGGGATGCGCGGTGGCGGAACGAGCGGCGGAAGGCGCAGCGGATGAAGAGACGGGAGATGCGCGCGGTTGCGAAGGGGCGGCGAGCCGCGATCTACTGGCGGCGGGTGGGGGGCGCCGACGAGACGCGAGGCCAGCCGAGCACTGCGGCGCCGGCGGCGGCGCTAGCGTGGGGCGCATGATGCATGGGAGAGAGGAGTATCGATTTGAGTGTGGCGGGAGACTCAAAATGAGAGTTTGGAGTTGCAAGTTGCGAGTTTGGGCTCTCATCAATTTGTTCTTACTCCTTCCCGCCCACCACCATTCTCTCCCGCTAATCGATCTCCCCCCTTCATTCCCAATTTCCCACCACTCGTCTCGCCGCTTCTCTGACATAGCCGTTCAGAGCGATCGCAGTAGCCATTCTCTGATCTCACACCGTCGCATTCGCTGCGCGCTGATCGCACAGATCAGAGCGCTCGCAGGGATCGCAGCGACTGCGGCGGTCCTCGCGATCGCGGCGGCGCATGGCGGGCGCGACAGAGAGGCGGGTGCTGATTATGGGCGACGGTGGCTCTCCCGTCGGGGCGGCCATGGGGGAGCGCGCGGGGGGCGGGCGGCAGCACGTGCTGCATCTGGCGCACCCGAAAACAGGCGCGTCGCTGGCGGGGTCGAGATGGCGCGTGGGGAGTAGGGGCGCGTGTGGCCGTTGGGAGGGGAGGGGAGTGCGAGGGGGGATGTGCCAGCAGGTAGTCTCGCCATGCGCCATGCGCCATGCGCTCACATCGCATCCATCGTGCCCTTGTGCGCACGTGCGCCCTGCCCCATCCCCCCCCGCCCCATGCGTGTGCGTGCGTGCGTGCGCGCGTGCGTGCGAGCAGGGGCGGCGGCGTGCTACATGCAGCAGGGCGGCGCGGTGTTGGAGGTGGCGTGGTTCAAAGACGCGCTCTCCTCGTGGCTGCTGGGGGACTCCGTGCTCCAAGGTGCTGTGCATGGGGCATGGGTGGGTACATGGGGCATGGGTGGGTACATGGGGCAATGGGGATGGTAAGGGCTAGCTGGGGACACAGAGGCAGTGATGGGTGTGATGGTGTGATGGCAGGGAGTGGCAGACGCACATGGATCCCGCTCTGCTGCTTCACTGCTTCCATGCGTCCCATGTCTGGAGCATGGTGGCTGGGGACGTGTTCACATCTGTGTCTGTATGGCATGTGGTGGCATGGCATGGCATGTGGTGGCATGGCATGGCATGTGGTGGCATGGCATGGCATGTGGTGGCATGGCATGGCATGTGGTGGCATGGCATGGCATGTGGTGGCATGGCATGGCATGTGGTGGCATGGCATGGCATGTGGTGGCATGGCATGGCATGTGGTGGCATGGCATGGCATGTGGTGGCATGGCATGGCATGTGGTGGCATGGCATGGCATGTGGTGGCATGGCATGGCATGTGGTGGCATGGCATGGCATGTGGTGGCATGGCATGGCATGTGGTGGCATGGCATGGCATGTGGTGGCAGATGGCAGTCTATTCATGGCGACGCCCATTGATGCTGCCTTCATGCTCCTGCCCATCCTCAATAAGAGCAGGATGAAGGTACTCCCACACACCCATCCCTCCCTCTCACCCACCTCTCCATATCACCCACCCCTCCCTCTCACCCACCTGAGCCATTCATTCAGCGCAGCCACTCATATCCACGTGGCATCACCCTCTCGTTGCATCCATGGTGCTGCACCCCGCACCTTGCATTGTGCCTTGACGCGTGGGAGGAAGAATATGACCCTTGCACCCGCCGTGTCTTGCACCCGCCGTGTCTTGCTCACCCCACTGCTTCACCTCCACTGTCCTCTTGCCCTCCTCCCTCCTCCCTTCCCCCCACCTCTTGCTTCTCTGCCCCATGCCCCATGCCCCATGCCCCATGCCCCATGCCCCATGCCCCATGCCCCATGCCCCATGCCCCATGCCCCATGCCCCATGCCCCATGCTCCATGCCCCATGCCCCATGCCCCATGCTCCATGCCCCATGTCCCATGCTCCATGCCCCATGCCCCATGCTCCATGCCCCATGCCCCATGCTCCATGCCCCATGCCCCATGCTCCATGCCCCATGCCCCATGCCCCATGCCCCATGCCCCATGCCCCATGCCCCATGCTCCATGCCCCATGCCCCATGCTCCATGCCCCATGCCCCATGCTCCATGCCCCATGCCCCATGCCCCATGCCCCATGCTCCATGCCCCATGTCCCATGCTCCATGCCCCATGCCCCATGCTCCATGCCCCATGCCCCATGCTCCATGCCCCATGCCCCATGCTCCATGCCCCATGCCCCATGCCCCATGCCCCATGCCCCATGCCCCATGCTCCATGCCCCATGCCCCATGCCCCATGCTCCATGCCCCATGCCCCATGCTCCATGCCCCATGCCCCATGCTCCATGCCCCATGCTCCATGCCCCATGCCCCATGCCCCATGCCCCATGCCCCATGCTCCATGCCCCATGCCCCATGCTCCATGCCCCATGCCCCATGCTCCATGCCCCATGCTCCATGCTCCATGCCCCATGCCCCATGCCCCATGCCCCATGCCCCATGCTCCATGCCACACACACGCTGCAGAAGGAGGGGTCAGACAGTGAAGGAATGTTCAGATCACTGGATGAGATCTGCACCGTTGATGGATTCCCATCCTACGGCTGGCTGCAGTCGCAGGGAGTTTGGGATCCCGTTCTCCCTCTCATCACCGACATCAGAGGTGCCCCCCGCCCTCTCATGTCCCTCGCCCTCGCATTCGCCCTCTCATGTCCCTCGCCCTCGCATTCGCCCTCTCATGTCCCTCGCCCTCGCATTCGCCCTCTCATGTCCCTCGCCCTCGCATGCCCCTCTCATGCCTCTCACGTCTTACGGCTCACATGTCGTCCACTTTGACCTCCACCCCTGCCTCTTGCCTTCCCACACCAACTGTTCCTTTGATGCGTGTCTGTGCTACCTGGTGTGGTGCTGTGCGGTGCTGCAGAGGTGGGCAGCTCACGGTTCTACAGGCTGAATGACAGCCGGGTGTTGGCGTGGCTCACATGCAAGGTGCGTGGAGGGTAATCCGTTCAACCGCCGCATCTGCTGCTGCTGCCGTGACATCCACATTCTCTGCGCTCTGCTCTCCAGTCTGCTCCTCTTCTGCCCCCCTCCCCAACCTGCATCACCCCGGCCCGCACGGCACCAGGTGGCGGCGCTCAAGGCAGCGCTGAGGCAGCACGGGGAGGCGCCGGTGAGAGGGCTGCCAGACCCCGACCTGGGTGGGTGAAGGGCTGCCTGCCTGCCTTGCTGGCTGGCTGGCTGGCTGGCTGGCTGGCTGGGGGTCGTGATGTTCTCTCTGCTGCGTGCTTACGTGACTGTTCTCCCTAATTTCAGCCTGTAGGACCCGACTCTCCCTAACTTCTCTCCCACACATCAAGCCTGCTTCCCATAGGGCCTGCTGTGCATCTTGCTGCTGCTTCTCCCCTCGCCCCACCTTACACATCCCCCCTGACCTTCTCCTCCCTCCATGTGCGCACAGAGGCATACGCGGTGGGGCTGCTGGGCGAGTATCTGCCCGCCTCCTTCCACGCTGCCCTCTGCCGCCACCTCTCCATCAGGTCAGTGCCGCCCACGCTCCTCACATGCCCTCTTCACACACTTTTCTTCTGCTGCCATGCCGTCCCCTCTCTCCTCGCACACCTCCACATGCCACCCTCTGTCCCTATCTCCTCCCCCACCCACCCGCTCCACACTCGCCGTCCACGCTGCATGTGCCGCTGGCTGCTGTGTGGCGTGCGTGGGGCAGTGAGGGCGAGGTGAAGCAGAGCCAGCAAGGGGGGCAATGCCTGGCCAGCCCACCTGCCGCTGCCACTCAACCCAAGGTGCCATATGCCCCAGCTGCTCGCCTGCGCCCTCTTTACCTGCGCTCACGTTTTCCCTCTCTTCTGCATCTACGGAACGGAACCTTGCTGTGCCTTCATGCTTTGTCCTGAGGATAAACCTCGGCCTCGCCATATTGCCCATCTCCTGCCTCGCATTGCATGTCTTATGTCAGGTGTCCTCCACACCACCCAGTGCTGGGAAGCCGGGCTCCTCCAATTCAAACCAACGGGGCAAGAAGGCGCTTAAAGCCCAACCAGGCGATCGAAAAATCACCTCCTTTTTTGGAAGGAATAGATAATGTGGAAACCCAACAGGATTATCATGTATGTTGTATTATTATATTTCTCATGCGTTACCGATGCCGGTACTAAAGCGGATTCCTCACGAAACTGTTGGGCCCACGTCGATTTGCCCGAGGCTGACGTGTGCATCCATTGCTGGCCATTCCTGACGAGCCACTTCAACGTGTCCTCTGGTCTCCCGTTCTGCACCACCACCCATGCCATTCCATCTCCGTCAGTATGACTCTCGCGCACACCATCACAGCACTCGCACGCGATCACTGATCACATCCGCGCCTCTCCATCCTCGCTGCTGATAGAATCCCCGCCGCCACCAATCGCGCTCGCGCCCACGCTGCTCTCTTGCGCCGCGCCTTCTCGCGCATCTCGCTCCACACCTGCGGCGGCGCGCCGCCATCTCGCGTCGCCCCCCCGCATCCCACTCGCCGCTTGAGTTGGCGTAGCCATGCGCCCATCCGCGCGCCCTGGAGACGCAACTGGGCTTAGAGGTATTTTGCACGCCGCCATCCCGCGTCGCCCCCCCCAATCCTACTCGCCGCTGGAGAGGCGACTGGGCTTAGAGGGTTTTCGTACGCCGCCATTCCCAAAACCACATGGCAAATAGTTGGAATTGCTAATTGGATTAGTTGGCAATTAGTTGGATTATCGTGGTTTGCTAATTGTGTCGCATGGCATCGCATGGTGTCATGGCGACGTCGCATGACGCCACCGCTGCTGGCGCTCCACCCCGCCAGCCCTCTCTGCCCCTCGCACCCGCGAATTCCCCTCTGCGCTCCTCCCACGCGGCCGCTGCCGCTTCCGGCGCAGCCCGCACTTTCTCCCCCCCGCTCTCCGCGCGCCACTCCGCGCCCCACCATGCGCGCCACCCGCCTCCCCCCAGTAACCTTCCGCAGCTCTCGCGCGCCTCCTCCTCCGTCTCCTCCTCGCTCCCGCGCTCCGCGCTCTCCTCCCCCGCGTCCTCCGCGCTGCACCTCCCCGCCATCCCCTCGCTGCAGTCCCTCCCCTCGCTCCGCTCCCTCTCCTCCTTCTCCTCCGCGCACACCTGCGCGGGCTGCTCCTGCGCGGGGTGCGCGGGGGGCAGCGCGGCGGGGGGCACGCGGAGCCCGTCGGACGGGGGGGAGGTGCGCTGGTACTTCAGCAAGGGGCACTTAGTCAAGGGCGGTGAGCGCATGTGGGTGGGGGGAGGGCGGTAGGTGCAGCGCAAGGGGAAAAGGAGGATTGCAGTGGGATGAGTGGAGTGGGCATGTGAGACCATATGGGGCTGTGCTTAATGCATGCTGTGCTTAATGCATGCTGTGCTTAATGCATGCTGTGCTTAATGCATGCTGTGCTTAATGCATGCTGTGCTTAATGCATGCTGTGCTTAATGCATGCTGTGCTTAATGCATGCTGTGCTTAATGCATGCTGTGCTTAATGCATGCTGTGCGCTCATGCTTTGCCATGACTTTCTACCTTCCCTGCCCCCCCTGCTCTCTCTTACTCTGTGTGTGTGTGCCTGTGGGCATGCGCCCATGTGAGCAGCGGTGGCAGCAGCGGTGCCGCACGCCATAGTGGCCTCCTCGGCTGACTTTCTGCGCTTCAGTGCACGCGACTCACACGCCCTCGAGACTGCCTTCCGCCAGGTGACTGCCTTCCGCCAGGTGACTGCCTTCCGCCAGGTGTGTGCGCCTTGTATGCCCGCTTCCCTCGCCTTCTCCCCCACTTCATGCATGCGCCCGCCCCGTGCTGCCCACACCCTTGCACCGTATCTCACCGCTCTCTGCCCCCTCCCACCCCTGCACACCATGCCGCATCACACCAGCGCGAGGAGGAGCTGCTCACGCTGTGGTGGAAGGAGTATGCCGACGCCGCAGTGGGGCCCGCGCCAGGTGGCGTGCCGCCATTGGTGGCCCCTCTGCTGTCGTCCGATCGCATCCGTCCGTGGCAGATCGCCGCCCCCCTCAGGAGCAAGAGAAGGCGGCGGGGAGGGTGGGGGCGAAGGCGGGAGAGGGAGGAAGAGAGGCAGGAGAGGGAGAGGGAGCAGGAGAGGGAGAGGGATAAAGAGAGGGAACGCGAAATGGCGAAGGAGAGGATGAGGGAATGGAGGAGGCAGGAGGCTAGGCGGCACGAGGGGGAGGTGGAGAAGGGCGAGGGGCTGTGGGCGGATGTGCAGGAGGAGGAGGCGGAAGGGGCGGAGGGGGAGGAGGGGGAGGAGGGGAGGGAAGCAGAGGAGACGGAGAGGAAGGGCGAGAGAGGGAGGGCAGGGGATGATGGTGAGCGGGGAGCGTGGAATGATGGCAGGCCAGGCGATGCAGGGAGGCAGGGAGGGGAGGAGGGGGAGGACGAGGAAGGTGGGGAGGAGAGTGAGGGGGAGAGTGAGGAGGGCGAGGAAGAGGCGATGGGGGTGGTGGTCAAGGGGGGCCTCTATGAGGTGCGTTCCCTGCCTGCCCCCCCTCACAGTGTGCCCACTGCATGTGCCCACTGTGCTGTTCCACACGCACTCACATCAGTTGTGTGCCTTCGCAAGGAACGATCCCTCTCTCCATGCTTATCTACCATCCCTCCCTCCCTCTCTTTTCTTCCAACCTTTCCCACCTCCCTCTCTCGCCCTCGCCCCCAGGTGGACCTGGGTCGGAGGCGGTCGTATGCGGTGTACTGGGAGGGGGAGGACCGCCGCGTGCTGCGAGGGCTGTGGTTCGGCAAGGGGAAGGCGCAGCTGACGTGGCAGCCTCTGAGGGAGGACGTGGCAGAACAGCTGGAGGAGGCCTACAGGAAGCGGGTGAGCAGGAAGGGGAGAGCGGGAGATAAGGGAGGGAGGGGAGAGGATGGAATCAAGCTCATTCCATCCCTCTTATTATTTGTCACTCGCTCTCTTGCCTCCCTGCTTCCTGACCCCTCTTCCCACCGCTTTCAACCCTTCCATCTGCTTGTCTCCCCCTGCGTGGCAGGTGTGGCGGCGGAGGTGGTTCCAGCCGTCAGGGCTGTTCGCCGCTAGAGTGCCCATTTCTGGCGCCGGCGAGGTGAGTGCTGACCGCTGCACATGGATGGGTAAGGGGTGTGGTGAGCAGGAAGAGAGCTTACCGTTTTTTACTGGGGTTTGCATGTGTGCATGTGCATGGTAGACTGGCGCTGCTTCTCAGCGTACCCAACCATGTGCATGCCTGACCCCCTCACGCTCTCACTCCCTCTAACCCTCCCACCTCTCACCACACCCCCTTCCCCAATGCCAGGGAGTGAGCGCACTGTTCACGGGGGACGACAGCAGCTGGCAAGCGCAGCTGTTGGTGGAAGGAACGCTGCTCTTCTCCTCGCCGCTGCACGCCATGGCCCTGCGCAGAGGCTTCCTGCCTCCTGCCTCCACCGCCGCCGCTCAGGTTAGTGCGAGCGAGGTGGACGTGGAAGAGTTGTTGAACTGTTCCTTTTAGCGCAGTGGCCCATCTACTCAACCTTCTTCTCCACCACACTTGCAGTTCCCGTTCTTTCCATCCGTGCCACCTTGTTCTTTCCATCCGTGCCACCTTGTTCTTTCCATCCGTGCCACCTTGTTCTTTCCATCCGTGCCACCTTGTTCTTTCCATCCGTGCCACCTTGTTCTTTCCATCCGTGCCACCTTGTTCTTTCCATCCGTGCCACCTTGTTCTTTCCATCCGTGCCACCTTGTTCTTTCCATCCGTGCCACCTTGTTCTTTCCATCCGTGCCACCTTGTTCTTTCCATCCGTGCCACCTTGTTCTTTCCATCCGTGCCACCTTGTTCTTTCCATCCGTGCCACCTTGTTCTTTCCATCCGTGCCACCTTGTTCTTTCCATCCGTGCCACCTTGTTCTCGCCTTGCCTCGCCCCGCTTTGACCCCCCCTCTCTCCCCCTATCTCTCGCTGCGTGGCAGCAGGAGGACGAGCAGCAGGTGAAGGAGGAGGAGCTGGACGACTACTGCTCCATGGTGGGTTTTATGAGTGCTGCATGTGTATGGCATGGATGGTATGTATGGCACGTATTTCATGGATGGATAGACGCACCCCGTCATGGATGGATAGACGCACCCCGTCATGGATGCTTACCTCTCTGCTGCTTCGCACCCATAATTTAGGCTCTAGCCAACTTCCGCCTTCCCATTCCCCTTCCTCCACTCCCCCTCACCTCTCCCCTCCCCCCCCCCACCAGGTGCCGGTGCAGCACGTGGTGTTCATGGTGCACGGGGTGGGGCAGCGCCTGGAGTCGGCGCACCTGGTGGATGACGTCACTGCCTTCCGCCACCACGCCGCGCAGCTCAGCCACTCGCACCTCACCGCCCACCAGCGCCTGCAGCAGCGCTGCCTCTTCATCCCCTGCCAGGTGCCCCCCTCTCCCTGCCAGGTGCCCCCCTCTCCCTGCCAGCCAAGCCACCATCGCTCCTCACACCCGTGTTTCTCTTCATGATGCAGCGCCCAAACACTCTCTGCCTCATTCCCCCTCACCTCTCTTCTCCCTTACTGTCCACCTCCCTGCCTTTCACTCCCCTCTCCCCGCATGTGCATGTGTGCATGTGCATGTGTGTATGTGCATGTGTGTATGTGTATGTGGATGTGGATGTGCACGGGCGGGCACCAGTGGAGGAGGGGTATGGCATTGGCATCAGAGGCGGTGGTGGAGGGCATAACGCTGGAGGGCGTGAGGGCGCTGAGGGACGCCGTGAGCGCCACGGTGCACGATGTGCTCTACTACATGAGCCCTGCCTACTGCCAGACCATCATCCACTCGGTCCGTGCATGCACCGCACTGCACTGCACACGCTCGCCAGTGCTCTGAAACCTGCTGTTGCTACTACTGCCTCTGCTGCCAGTCTTTTGCATCCGCTTCTTGATCGCCTGCCTGCATTGATTCATCATTCAAAATTTCGTTCACTCTCTCCCATCTCTCCTCGCCTCCCCCATGCCCTCCCCCCAGCTGACCTCCTCACTCAACCGCCTGTACCGCAAGTTCAAGAGGCGCAATCCGCTCTTCAGCGGGCGCGTGTCGGTCTTTGGCCACTCGCTGGGCTCCGTGCTGCTCCACGACATCCTCTGCCACCAGCCGCCCCTCCCGCCCCTGCTGCCCCTGCTGCCGCCGCCGCTGCCCCACTCGCTGCTTCCGCCGCCGCTGCTGGCAGATGGTAGAGGCCTGGGAACGATGCAGCGAGGCATGGGGAAGGCAGGGGACGATGGGGGATGGGAGGATGGGGAGGGGTGGAGTGAAAGTGAGGGTGCAGAATCGCCTGTGGCTGTCTCTGTGCCTGACCCATCCATGGTTCCTGCACGTGGTGGGAATCTGCTTGCACTTGCTCCTGAACGCCTTCCTGCTGCACTCGAACCTGTGTCACCTGCACCGGAGCCTGAACCTGCACTTGAGTTTGTATCTGACGTTGCACCGGCACCTGTGGCTGTGGCTGTGCCCGAGCCAGCAGCACCACCTGAAGCATGTGGAGACGCGCCTGTGCCCCTAGATGGGTGCACACCTGTTTCGCTACGGCCTCTCCCTGCCTCCACCGCTGCCAGCCCGGCCGTGCCTCAAAGCCCCACGCACAGTGGCAGGGATGGCAGCAGCCACTGGGGGGATGCGTGCATGCAGGTTGCAAACCGGGCAATGGACAGTGGAGGAGTGAAAGGGGTCGAGGCGAAAGCAGAAGCGGAGGGGGAGGGTGGTGCAGTGGGGGAGCAGGGAACGGGCTGGGAGGAGGGGGAGCGAGTGCAGGGAGGGGGTGGGAGTGATGGGCAATCAGAAGCAGGTGTGGGGGTAGGGCCGAACACAGAGACAGCAGAGCAGTTGTGGCACAAGGTGAGAGGCGCTGTGTGTGGGGGGGGACTGCAGTGCGCTGCGTGTGAGTTGTGCCACCATTGCCTCAACTCCCACTCACTCCTCTCATCCCCTTGCACCCAACACCTCTCCACCTTCCCTCCCCACGACACCGTTTCTCATTACCCTCTTCCCCTCCCCTCCCCTCTTGCCCCCCTCAGCTGGGCGAGCTGCAGAGGGAGGTGGACGCGTGGCGGGCCGCCTTCCACCACCTCGCCTCCTCGCTCCCGCACGTGCCGGCTGCCCGCCCTGCATCCCCCTCGCCATGCGCCCACCACACTGCTCCCCCATGCCATCGCGCCTCTCCTCCGTCCCGCGCCTCTCAGCCCCTGCACGCCCCTGCTTCCACCCTCCCTCTCTTCGCTCTGCCACCCGCCCCTCCCCCTCTCCTCCTCCCAACGCCACCAGCACCACCAGCACCATCAGCACCATTGCCTGCGTGTCCTCCCACCAGTCAAGCCACCAGCCCTGCCACTCCGCCTGTGCAGCCCGCCTCGCCCGCTCTGCCATCCACCCCTCCCCACTGCCCCTCCAGCAGCCCCTCCTTGAGCGTTCCTTCTCGTGCCTCTGCCAGCTCTCTTGATGCTGCCCCTGCCGGCAATGTATGCGTGGTGGGCTGTGGTGACACACTGAAGGGGGACGGGGGTGAAGGCAGCATAGACAGCCGGGCAGAGGCGGGAGGGGGGGAACAGGTAGCAGGAGCACGGGAGAAGGCGAAGGATGAGGAGGGTGTGGTTGTGGGGGCATGCGGAGGGGAGGGGCGAGGAGGTAGGAAAAGGAAGGGCAGTGGCGGAAGGGAGGGAGGTGGGAATGGTGGAGGGGGTGTGTGGAGAAGAGGAGCGGGTGCAGTGGAGGAGGCAGCAATGAGAGGGAAGAGCAAGGAGAGGAGGGGCAGGGAGGTGGGTGAGACAAGGAGACAGAGGAGGAGGAGGAGGGTGGAGGGGAAGGAAAAGCTCGCTGCCTCTGCTGCAGCTGATGCTCATGATGCGGCTGGGGCTGGGCCGAGTGCGGAAGCACAGGGGTGTGAAGCTCGCATGGGGCGAGGGGCGGATGCGGCGGCGAGGGACGAGGGTGGGGAAGGAGTGGGTGGAGCAGTGGGGCAGGCACTGTCTGGGGCAGAGCCAGAGGCAGGGGGGGTGGTGGAGGTGGCGAGTGGTGGCGGTGGAGTGGGAGGCTATGGGGGATGCAGTGAGGGTTGCGAGGGACGCAGGGACCGTGATGAGAGGAGCAGGGAGGGCAGTGAGGAATGTGGGCGTGACGAGGAGGGTAGTGAGTGTGGTGTGACATGCGCACAAGTAACAGTGGTGCCAGCGATAGAGGGGGGTGGTGGGCGATGTCCGGGGGAGGGGCGTGGGGAAGGCAGTGGGGAAGGGCGAGAGCATAGGGGAGAGGGGCTGCATGGGGATGCGCTATCTCATAGGGATGCGCTGTCTCATGGGGATGCGCTGTCTCATGGGGATGCGTTGTCTCATGGGGATGCGCTGTCTCATGGGGATGCGCTGTCTCATGGGGATGCGCTGTCTCATGGGGATGCGCTGTCTCATGGGGATGCGCTGTCTCATGGGGATGCACTCACTTATGGGGATGCGGTGGTTAGCTGTAGGTTGGAGTGGAAGGAGGGAGAGGGCAGTGCAGAGGGCAGTGTGGAGGGCAGTGGGGAAGGGATGGGTGGTGCAGCTGGTGCTGTGGGGAGTGGTGGAGAGGCACGGCTGGGTTGGGGAGACACGCGTGACGGCGGGGAAGAGGAGGGGGGAAGAATGGGGAGGGAGTCGCTGGGAGAGGATAGAAGAGCGGTGGCGGATGGGGGGACAACTGGAGAGGGGTTGGCGTGGAGTGTAATTGAGACACTTGGGGATTCAAACGGGAGAGAAGGGCATGTGGGGGAAGAAGGGCATGTGGGGGAAGAAGGGCATCTGGGGGAAGAAGGGCATGTGGGGGAAGAAGGGCATGTGGGGGAAGAAGGGTATGTGGGGGAAGAAGGGGCACATGTGAAGGACGGGGTGGGCGAGAGAGGGGGGGAGAGAGCAGAGAGTCTTGGCGAGGGGGTTGCTGCAGGGATGGGAACAGGGAGGAGCGCAGCAGGAGCAGCAGGGGGAAAGGGCGGCTTTCGGGCACAAGGGAGAGGCGGCTTTCGGGCACAAGGGAGAGGCGGCTTTCGGGCACAAGGGAGAGGCGGCGGCAGAGCAGCATCACCGCGCGCACCGCCGCGGCAGCATGCGCCGTCTATACGCTACGGCCGCCTGCTCTTCCCCGTGAGCTGCTCTCCTCTCCCTCCTCCCTGCTTCTTGCCCCTCTTTGCTCCCCTCACCCTCTCATCACCGCGCCTCCACCCCCCATCCCCTCCCTCCCCCCACCCCCCTCCCCGCGCCCCAGGTGCACACATTCTTCGCTGTGGGGTCGCCTCTCGGCCTCTTCCTCGCTCTGCGCAACATTCGCCTCGGCGATGGTGGTGAGGAGAGAATGGGGGAAGTGTAGTGAGGCAGGGATGGGTGAGGCAGGGATGGCCGAGGCAAGGGATGGGTGAGCAGAAATGGGTGCGAGCGGTTGAGCAGGACGGGTGCAGGGGGGTGAGCTGGGATGGGGCGACTCAACATGAGGTTCAGGCTAGTGTTACAATCGGACATCACTCAAGCATGTGCCACTGTTCTCTCCCCCCCGATCACTGCATGCATGAGCAGCAGGCGGTGACAGCGCGCAGTACTGGGGCATGGAGGGAGTGCAGGAGGAGCTGCCGGCGTGCCGCCATGTGCTCAACATCTTCCACCCCCACGACCCCGTTGCCTACCGGTCAGTTCCCCACCGCCCCCTCGCCTACCCGTGGGTTGCACGCGTGTGGTGCTGGGGCGTGCATGCGACAATTGCTGGGGCGTGCATGCGACCATTGCTGGGGCGTGCATGCGACCATTGCTGGGGCGTGCATGTGACCATTGCTGCGCCTGCATGCATGCCTGCGCCCATTGCCGTTTGCTCTCGTCATTTGAACCCCCTTCCACCGTGCCACGTGTCACCTGCAGATTGGAGCCATTGGTATCACCGCAGCTGGCGCAAGTTCCTCCGGTGCTCATGCCGTACTACCGCGGTCACTACCGCACGCACATTGTAGTCAAGGTGAGCGCTGTGCACATCTCTTTCTGCATTATGCCTTCCCACATCTCTTGTTTCCACCTTCCCACATCTCTTGTTTCCACCTTGCCACATCTCTTGTTTCCACCTTCCCACATCTCTTGTTTCCACCTTCCCACATCTCTTGTTTCCACCTTGCCACATCTCTTGTTTCCACCTTCCCGCATCTCTTGTTTCCACCTTCCCACATCTCTTGTTTCCACCTTCCCACATCTCTTGTTTCCACCTTCCCACATCTCTTGTTTCCACCTTCCCACATCTCTTGTTTCCACCTTCCCACATCTCTTGTTTCCACCTTGCCACATCTCTTGTTTCCACCTTCCCGCATCTCTTGTTTCCACCTTCCCACATCTCTTGTTTCCACCTTCCCACATCTCTTGTTTCCACCTTCCCACATCTCTTGTTTCCACCTTGCCACATCTCTTGTTTCCACCTTCCCACATCTCTTGTTTCCACCTTCCCACATCTCTTGTTTCCACCTTCCCACATCTCTTGTTTCCACCTTCCCACATCTCTTGTTTCCACCTTCCCACATCTCTTGTTTCCACCTTCCCACATCTCTTGTTTCCACCTTCCCACATCTCTTGTTTCCACCTTCCCACATCTCTTGTTTCCACCTTCCCACATCTCTTGTTTCCACCTTCCCACATCTCTTGTTTCCACCTTCCCACATCTCTTGTTTCCACCTTCCCACATCTCTTGTTTCCACCTTCCCACATCTCTTGTTTCCACCTTCCCACATCTCTTGTTTCCACCTTCCCACATCTCTTGTTTCCACCTTCCCACATCTCTTGTTTCCACCTTCCCACATCTCTTGTTTCCACCTTCCCACATCTCTTGTTTCCACCTTCCCACATCTCTTGTTTCCACCTTCCCACATCTCTTGTTTCCACCTTCCCACATCTCTTGTTTCCACCTTCCCACATCTCTTGTTTTCACCTTCCCACATCTCTTGTTTCCACCTTCCCACATCTCTTGTTTTCACCTTCCCACATCTCTTGTTTCCACCTTCCCACATCTCTTGTTTCCACCTTCCCACATCTCTTGTTTCCACCTTCCCACATCTCTTGTTTCCACCTTCCCACATCTCTTGTTTCCACCTTCCCACATCTCTTGTTTCCACCTTCCCACATCTCTTGTTTCCACCTTCCCACATCTCTTGTTTCCACCTTCCCACATCTCTTGTTTCCACCTTCCCACATCTCTTGTTTTCACCTTCCCACATCTCTTGTTTCCACCTTCCCACATCTCTTGTTTCCACCTTCCCACATCTCTTGTTTCCACCTTCCCACATCTCTTGTTTCCACCTTCCCACATCTCTTGTTTCCACCTTGCCCCCTTCGCTGCCGCACTCCCTTAGCTGTTCTCCCATGCCCTCCCAACCCGTGCTGTTTCCTCATCCTACTTCCCTCCGTCCCATACCTCAACCCCATACGTCCCCATGCGCGCACCCCCTTTCCTTGATGCACGCAGCGATTCTTCCAGCAGCTGAGGGACAGCCTGAGATGGCTGTACCGTGCACTGGTTTCACCGCTGCAATATGTGCTGGTGAGTCATGGGAGGTGCTGTGATGCAATGTGGGGCAGTGAAGCAGTGTGGGGCAGTGAGAGGCTATTTGAGGCGGTGAGAGGCTATGTGAGGGGGCACAATCCTGGTGCAGTGCTGTGAATGCTGACTTCAATTGTGTGTGTTGTCACGTGGAATTCCCTCTTCCGCCCATGCATTAGCATCAGCATCAGCATCAGCATCGCATCAGCATCGCATCAGCATCAGCAACAGCATTAGCATCAGCATCAGCATCGCATCAGCATCAGCATCAGCATCAGCATGAGCATGAGCATGAGCATCAGCATCAGCATCATATCAGCATCAGCATCGCATCAGCATCAGCATCGCATCAGCATCGCATCAGCATCAGCATTAGCATCAGCATCAGCATCGCATCAGCATCAGCATCAGCATCAGCATCAGCATCAGCATGAGCATGAGCATGAGCATGAGCATGAGCATGAGCATCAGCATCATATCAGCATCAGCATCAGCATCAGCATCAGCATCAGCATCAGCATCAGCATCATCTCAGCATCAGCATCAGCATCAGCATCATATCAGCATCATATCAGCATCAGCATCAGCATCAGCATCAGCATCAGCATCAGCATCAGCATCAGCATCAGCATCATATCAGCATCAGCATCAGCATCAGCATCAGCATCAGCATCAGCATCGCATCAGCATCAGCATCAGCATCAGCATCAGCATCAGCATCATATCAGCATCATATCAGCATCAGCATCAGCATCAGCATCAGCATCAGCATCAGCATCATATCAGCACCAGCATCAGCATCAGCATCAGCATCAGCATCATATCAGCATCAGCATCAGCATCAGCATCGCATCAGCATCGCATCAGCATCAGCTTCAGCATCATATCAGCATCAGCATCAGCATCAGCATCAGCATCAGCATCATCTCAGCATCAGCATCAGCATCAGCATCAGCATCAGCATCAGCATCATATCAGCATCAGCATCATATCAGCATCATATCAGCATCAGCATCAGCATCAGCATCAGCATCAGCATCATATCAGCATCAGCATCAGCATCATATCAGCATCGGCATCAGCATCAGCATCAGCATCAGCATCATATCAGCATCAGCATCAGCATCAGCATCATATCAGCATCAGCATCAGCATCAGCATCAGCATCGCATCAGCATCAGCATCAGCATCAGCATCAGCATCAGCAACATAGCATCAGCATCAGCATCAGCATCGCATCAGCATCAGCATCAGCATCAGCATCAGCATCAGCATCAGCATCAGCATCATATCAGCATCAGCATCAGCATCAGCATCAGCATCAGCATCATATCAGCATCAGCATCAGCATCAGCATCAGCATCAGCATCAGCATCATATCAGCATCAGCATCAGCATCAGCATCAGCATCAGCATCAGCATCGCATCAGCATCAGCATCAGCATCAGCATCAGCATCAGCATCATATCAGCATCAGCATCAGCATCAGCATCAGCATCAGCATCAGCATCATCTCAGCATCAGCATCAGCATCAGCATCAGCATCATATCAGCATCAGCATTAGCATCAGCATCATATCAGCATCAGCATCAGCATCAGCATCATATCAGCATCAGCATCAGCATCGGCATCAGCATCAGCATCATATCAGCATCGGCATCAGCATCAGCATCAGCATCATCTCAGCATCAGCATCAGCATCAGCGTCAGCATCAGCATCAGCATGAGCATGGGCATGCATCTCACGCCTCTCCCTGCCTCTCTCCTCCTCCCTGGTTGCGCCCTTCTCACTCCCCTCAACCCATCCCCACCGCTGCCAGAGGTCCGCATGGAGTCTGCTCTGCTTCGCCCCTCCACCTCCTCAACCCGCGCCGGGTATGCACCCACCTCCACCGGGTATGCACCCACTTCCACCCATATGCACCGACCTCATCCGAGTGCACATGCACAGCATGACATGCCCCCACTGCGTGGCCAACCTCTCCATTGCTGTCACGCTCTCACTGCTTCTCTCATCACCACGCTGTCTGCTCCTCTCTTCCGAGTCGACTCAAAAGCTGTCTGCTCCTCTCCTTCCGCCCTCCTTCTGCTGTCTCTTCCTTCTGCTGTCTCTTCCTTCTGCTGTCTCTTCCTTCTGCTGTCTCTTCCTTCTGCTGTCTCTTCCTTCTGCTGTCTCTTCCTTCTGCTGTCTCTTCCTTCTGCTGTCTCTTCCTTCTGCTGTCTCTTCCTTCTGCTGTCTCTTCCTTCTGCTGTCTCTTCCTTCTGCTGTCTCTTCCTTCTGCTGTCTCTTCCTTCTGCTGTCTCTTCCTTCTGTTGGCCTCCTCTCCTCCATCTTTCCCCCCTATCAGCCCCCGACAGCAGTGAGCTGCCAGTGTTGGACGCACGATCGCAGCACACGCTCACACTCCTCACAGGCTCTCCGCACGGCCGCATTGACTTCATGCTGCAGGTGGGGCATGGGGCGCAGGGGGAGGGGCGTTGGGACGTTGTCGTGGCTGTGCTGTGCGCCACAATATGTATGGTATTGCTCACTTGCAGCCACACACACATCAGCCTCATCACTCTCTCCTCCCTCCCCCCTCGCTCTGTGCGCCGCTATGCCCGCCAGGATCCCTCCTTTCAGCACCAGTACTTGCAGGCCATGAGCTGCCACTTGTGAGTCACAACTTCCGTCTCGCCTCGCCTCCTTCGCTCTCGCCCCTTCTTTCTCCTGCCTGCATCACCTTGACCTGCAAGTCTGCCCATGCCACTCTTCCATGCCACCCATACCTCTTCTGCCTGCATCACCTTTGTGGTGCGTCCAGTGCCATTCTTCCTTCAACAAGATTCTCCTCCGCTGTTGCTCGCGTCTCAGCGCCTGGCAGTCTCCTCATTGCCATCTGCCACTCCCCTCTTCCCTCTCACCTATCCTCCCTTTCTTCCTCACCTCCCCTTCTCCCCCTCAGCGATGCATGGATAGACAAGGACATAGCGCTGCTGGTCATCCGCCATCTCTACCGCCACGTGCCTCGCCAGCCCCCTCCTGCCCGCCAGCCACCGCCCCTGCACGCTCACTTCGACCCCTCCTCCCCCGCCCCCTCTCCCACTGCTACCACCCCCCCCACTGACCCCTCGTTCCTCTCGCCTCCTCCCTCCCCCTCACGTCACGCCGTCTTCTCCTCCCTCTCTGCCCTCTCCACGCCTCGTTGCCTCTCTGGAGACCTCTCCTACTCCATCCCCTCCTTCCTCCCCTCCCACCCGTCATCCTCGCCCCTTGCTGCCACCCGACCCTTCTCACCCCTCTCAGCCCCCCCCACACCCCATCCTCTCCCACCAGCATCATTCCCTGCATCAGCACCGCCAGCAGCACCCATCAATGCTGCGACGACATCTTCCACCGCTCCCAACCCATCTGCAACCCACTCGAACATGCCTTCGGGCCCCCCCCCCTTGAGTCAGGTGCGGGGGCACCAGCGCAGCGGCAGCAGCAGCAGCCTGCTGGGGCGGCTGTGCGACGCTGTGAGCCCTCTTGAGCATGCTGCTGCTGCAGAGAGGCACGCAGGGAGGCACACGGGGAAGGTGGTACCTGGGGCAGGTGCTGCTGCTGCTTCTGCTGCTGTTGGTGGTGATGGCAGTGGCGGTTTGCAGCAGCGACAGAGAAGGCAGTGGAGGGAAGGGAGTGTGGGGCATGGGAGGAGGGCGTGGGGAGGGGAGGAGAGTCAGGGGAGGGTGAGCAAGGTGGGGGCAGTGAGGAGGTGTGTGAGGCGAGTGCAGGCACACATTGAGGAGGGGGAAGATGAGGGGGAGGACGAGGGGGAGGAGGATGAGGAGGAGGTGGCATTCACCTTCTCTAGTTGGAGGGCGGCTCAGTTGCTGCGAGTGCAGCTGCTGCTGTGACCACAAACCACACCACACCAGTGTCGCACACCTGCTTCATGTAGCGATTCATGTGAACCATATTGCTGCATTTGTGGTGTATATACAACGCTTGAATGCACTACATTTATATTCATTGAAATGCAGAGGCGTTCGCCGTTCCTCTTCCAGTCTGGTGATGGTCATTACCTGCCCACACTGGAATAGGTATCATAAGAAATAATATCCTTGCCGTCTCTGCACAGCGAAGAAAGAATGTGGCTCTCAATAACATAACATTATGTGGCGAGTGTCCTGCACAATTAAGGTACATGGCGAAAACTGGGACCTAATTCTGGCCAAATCAGTCAGCATCCAATGGTTTTGTGTCCTGCGCTTTCCAGCCTTTGTGAAAGTGGAGGCCGGGCAGTGGGCACACAACACAAGGTCACACACAGCCATGTGCTCTCATTCCATAACAACGAAGCTCCTTGCCATATCACCACGATGTTGGCAGTGCCACGCTCACAGCTCCACCTGCTGCATGTCATCAGCCCCTGGGAAGCCATTGTTGCTGCCATCCCCCGCAGCACCACCCCATGCGCCACTGCTTGCAAACCCTTGCACCGCTCCCACTGCTCCCAGTGCTCCCGGTGCTCCCAGTGCAGCCTGAGCCCCCGGGGGCAGCATGGGAGGAGCAGCTGCCATGTACCCCTGCGCGGCCCACACGCCCTTGTGCTGCTGTGCCCCTGCACCTCCTTGCCCACCCACTCTCTGCCCCGCCCTGCCTGCCCCCGCTGCTGCTCTAGGCGGTGCCCCCACCGCCATGCCTGCAGGTGCCATGGGCCCAGGCACAGGAGCACCAGGTGCTGCTCCCGATTCATTCGACTCACCACCTGCCACAGCAGCCCCACCTGATGACTCCACTCCATTACCCATCCCTTCCATGCTGCTCGCCTCACCCATTTGAGCCGGGGCAGGGGTCATGACTGCCATGGGGGCGGCAGGCATGAAGAACTTTGGTGGGCCCCCTGCTGCTGGCGTTGCTGCTGCCCCAGCAGCAGCAGGCATGGGGCGCGGGATGGACGGCAGCAGCGACGCGGCAGGCGTGAGTGCAGGTGTGGCGCCCTTGTTGAATGTGTCCACGTACCTGCGCGCGTGGAGGGGGAGGAGGAACGTGGGAGGGGGTGTTGATGCGCGAGGTGAGTGGGAAATGAGTGGTAGAAAAGAAAAACACAGGGAAACACAAACTGGAAATAAGAGTCAGGTGCATGTCCCCTTGCCCCCTTTCCTGGCCAGCCAGGGCCACACTAGCAGAGCAGAGCAAGGCAGAAGTCACGGCAAAGCAGAGCAAAAAGCAGAGGTGCCCACCTGGAGCGCACAGCACTGCGCCGCCCAAAGCTGCCAGCGTAAGCCAGTGGCGGGCCGGGCTTCGCTGCTGAGCTGGCCGGTGCTGACGTGGAATCAGCAGCTGGCGCAGGAGGAGCTGCTGAATGGACAGCTGGCGGTGCAGACGTAGCAGACGGCGCACCGTCAGCAGCAGGAGCAGCAGCAGCAGGGGTGGTGGCAGGAGGGTCAGCGGAGTTGGAGGTGCCGGGAGCGGCAGGGGCGAAGGCGAAGGTGGTGGGGGGCGGGGCGAGGGTGGTTTCCACGACCTCGTCCTCCTTGCCTCGCTCCACCCACCGCTTCAGCTTCTCGTTGAAATAGAACGTGTTCTCGCTGCCCAGCTTCGCCTGCCATGCCCACGCAGCGCAGCACACGCACGGAGCGAACAACAGCTTGTCAGATAAGTGTGGGAAAGAGCATTGAGTGGGAGACAGGAAGATTGAAGTGTGCTTTGATGTACACTTCACAGAGATTCAACTCCACCTGCCATACCTCCCGTTCCCACAGCCCTCTTCACCCATCCCCTCCCCTCCCCTCTCACCTGCTTCCCGCTTGCGCCTCCTCCCCCTGAGCTCCCAGCAGCAGAGCCGCCCCCCCAGAAGTACCCAAAAAGGCGCCCCAACCCCTTCCCCCCTGGCGCTGCTGGCGGCTTGCCTCCTCCGCCCTTGCTGCCCTTGGCCTGTAGAGGGTGGAGAGGAGGGGCGTTGGGTGCAGACACGAAAGGGACCAGAGGAGGCTGAGGTGAGAAGGCACATGTCACCCGTGCTGTGTTTGACCCACTGCTGCGGTGCCCAATGCTATGGTAAGGGGGAAATGATTGCATCATGACGTGGTGAGACGGGAGTGTCACCACATGGAGCATCATGCAACCGCGCATGAGTCATGTGACATGTATCATGGGTCATGCACCATGCATCATGTGGCAAGTGCCATGCATCATGCAACATGCATTAAGCATCCCCCTCATCTCACCGGCACGGCCTGTCCCATGTCAGGAGCGGAGGCGCTGCGCTTGTTGGACATGCCAGCGCCCGTAGCGAGCAGCCCCTCCACCGCCTCCTCTGTCACCAGCCCCATGGACGATGACGTGGCAAGCAGCGACGCTGACGAGGAGGAGGACGACGGCCCACCCGCACTAGCCCCATCGCCGCTCCCTACTGCCGCCTTCCCACTCGTCCCAGTGAGTGCGGCATCAGTGCTCCCCTCGGCCATGTCCTGCGGGCTCACTTTACTGGGGTGCCCGCCCAGCAGCCCAGCCAGGGAGAATCTGCTGCGCGGGGCCGCCTTCTTGGCGGCAGGTGCATCTGGGGCGGGTAGATCTGCAGCGGAGGCGGACTGGGAGCGCGGCACGAGGGCAGGCTGGGCCTGGGGCACAAAGTCAGCATCGCCCTCCCCGCTGGGGGACTCCCTGATGGGTGTGAGGTGCCCTGACCCCCACCCTGCTGCACTGGGTGTGCCGTGCCACTCCGCGGCAAACGCTGCCATGGAGAGAGGCTCGTCCTCCTTGATAGCCGGCGTCTGGGATGCAGCAGGCACCGCCTCCCCTGCCCTGCTGCTCGCCCCCCCTGCTCCCCCTGCTGCTGCTGCACTGCTATCCCCCATGGGCGTGCCGTAGGCCGGGGAGAGGGCGATGGGGGGCATGTCAGCAGTGGTGGCAGGGGTGGAGGAGGAGGAGAGGGGAGTGCAGGCAGCGGAGTCAGAGGTGTCAGATAACACCTCAGCCGCTGCATCGTGCCACTCGCCCTCCCCCCCACCCTCCCTCTCACCCCCTTGCATCTCGCCTGCCCCTGTGCCTGTCTGCTGTTCCCCTTGCTCCTGCGCTCCTTGCGCTCCCCCTCCTGCCACTCCGTATCCCTCACCCCACTGCTGCACCCCCACCTGCTCCTGCTGCGGCTGTTGCTGTTGTTCACCCCATGCCTGTGTCTCCTGAGACCAGCCTTGCTGCTGCTGCTGCTCCTGACCCCACTGCTGTTGCTGCTGTTGCTGTTGCTGCTCCCACTCCTGCCATTGTTGCTGCTGTTGCTGCTGCTGCTCCCATTGCTGCCACTGCTGTTGCTGATCTTGCTGGTAACCACCAGAGTAACCACCATACTGCTGTGAAGCCAGCTCGTTCTGCTCCACCTGCCCTGCCTGCGCCACCCCCTGCCCCCACTCACTGGCACCACCTGCTGTCCCTTGCACTCCCCCACTCGCCCCTCCGCTCCACGCACTGACCTGCTCCCCTCCCGTTGCTCCCTGTGCTCCTGCCCCCGCTGCGGCACCCATGGCACCATCAGACCAGCCACTTGTCGTCCCATCACTAGCAGACATCGCAGCAGCGGCAGCACTGTAGCTGCTCGCCACACCACCTTCACTACCCGGAGCTGCTTCACTGGCACCTCCACCCTGCCCCTCCGCCAAGCCTACCAGGTTCGGACCGGACGCGCTGTGCAGGCCCGGGGATGACGTGGACGCAGGAATGGCACGCTTGCCCAGGCCCCACCACCCCCCTCCCCCTGTCGTACTAGCCTTCCCAGCCACCCCCAGGTTCGGCGCCGAACCAAACCGAGACGACTCTCCCAAGCTCGGCTTGCTACCAGCCCCTCCAGGCACAATGTCCCCCATGGCGCCTCCACCCAATGCCGATGCGACACCTGGCGCAAGAGGCGTAGCAGCAGGGCCCCCACCGACAATCTTCCTAGCGCCCCTGTCAAGGAAACTCATGAGATCACCAAACACGCGTGCTGCAGCGACCCCGCCCCCCCCTGCCCCCTGCACATGCACCTTGAGTCGCTCCTCCATCAGCTCCGCTGCTGCTCTCCACCCCTCCACCTCCGCCGCCACTCCCCGCCCCCTGCCGCCCGCCTTGAGCATCTTCAGCACCGCGCTACAGTACTTGAGGGCGGCGGCCGGGCGGCCTGCTTCGGCCAGCATGGCAGCGTAAACAAGCTTAAATGGCATCAAGGGGAGCAGCACAAACTGCGGGTTGCCAAGAACAAACGCATACTCGAGCACCTCACTGCGCTGAATGGCTTGTGCCGTCACAAACGTGCGCGGGTGCTTCAGGTGATCCGTGCCCAGCAGACACATGCGTGCCGAGGAGGAGAAGGGCTCCAAACTGCCTGCTGCCACGAGGTAGCAGATGTGTGCTGCGGCCACGTCCCCCTTGAGGCGCCACAGGCAGTCGCCCAGGTGGGAGATGACTCTCTCATCGCCACTCGTGCGCGTCGCTGCCATCAGCGCCACATTCTCCCTCCACTCCGCCACCATTGCTCGCACACCCTCGTCGCTGCTCCCACTGCTGGTGCCACCATCACCACCAGCAGCAGTACCAGTACCAGCACCAGCACCGACGCCTGTCTTGGTGGCATCAGCAGCGGCACCGGTGGCAGCGGCGGCAGCAGACGCAAAAACGGCGGAGGGCTGTTGGGTGAGCAGCAGAGTGAGTGTGCGCAGAGGGGCACCAGGGGCAAACTGCTGCGCCGCCATGGCCTGTGCTGTGGAGAGGAAGAGGCGCGTGTCAGAGGGGCCGCCCATGTGCTGCGCAAGCAGCAGCGCCAACCCCCACAGGTGGCCCGCCTTGGCTGCCTCCAGCGCCTGCATGTGCCTCCCTGCCACCAGATGCTGCTTCACCTCCTGTGCTGCCGCCTGTGGGGGGAAGGGGTGTGGAGGGAGGGAGGAAGGGGTTGGGGTAGGTGGAGAGCAGAGGGCGTGTGCATCTGGAGGACAGGGGGTGAAGGCGAAGGGAGGAGCTGGCAGGCAGTACAAGGAAGCCGTCAGACAAGACAGGGGAGCGGCCGACAGGACATGGAGGAGAGGAGCAGAGCAGGGGAGGAGCGCACCTGAACTGCAGCCTCAGTGGGGATGGGCAGTTGGAGGTCCGACACTCGTGCAGCAGCAGAGGCGGCAGCAGGCAGGGGCGACCATGCAGAGGCGTATGGCGCCATGGGAGCCACTGCTGCTGCCGGCGCTGCCACCGATGGGAAGGGCCCGGCTGTAGCAGCAGCAGGGGCGGCTGTAGCAGTGCTGGGTCCAGCCCCTGCCGCTGCCAATACCTTGGCTAGCTCTGCCTCTGGCGATGACTCGCCCTGCCCATGACACATGGCACATGGCGCATCACACATGGTACATGGCATGTGGCACATAGCAATTGGTACATGGCAAGTGATAAAGGGCACATATGTCATGCATGGTGAGGAGAGGGTACAAACGGACAGCTGAAGCAACTACATAGGTAAGATCAAAAATCATTTGCACAAGAATCATGGCATACCCATGAAGGCTGCTGGCAGCATCCATGCTGTGTCGCAGACAGTATAACTAACAACAACACATGCAAGGGAGAAAGAGGGAAACAGACAGGAGGATGATTCGACGAAGGGAGCACCGGAATGACGTGCTTCCCCACGCACCTACCCATCACGCTGCACACACCTGTGCGGAGCGACTGCCCATGCCGTCCCGCCTCAACTGCCCGTAGAACTGGCATGCCACTCGCAGCACCCGCCACAGCAGCACCAAACTCTCCGCCCTCTCCGCACCCCCTGCACCCCCACCGCCCCCTGCCTCCGCCTCCTCCTCCTCGCCGCTCCGCTCCGCCCGCTCCTCCAGCCACTTGCTCAGCTCCTTGGCCGACATGCCGCCAGCTGTCAGCGGCCCATTGTGCGCGTGCTTGCCAGTGAGAGGGGCGAGGTAGAGTGAGCCGGCGGTGCTGGTGGCAGTGGAGACGCCATCGTGGGCTTCGAGGCTGAGCAGGTGCGGCAGGGGGAGCAGCTTCAGCGTTGGCTGCACTGGCGGGGACAGCTGCGGTCATTGGCAGCAGGACGGTGGAAGGGGGAGAGGAGATTGGGAGGAAACGGAAAGAGGAGATTGGGGAAGAAGGGGGGGTTGGAAAAGGAAAAGTGAGGGGATGACAGCGTCAGCGACTTATGGGTGAAAAGGAATACTGAAGCAAGGTAACCCTGGGATGAACACATCTGTGAGCAGCAAGTGATGGAAAGCAACAACTGCACGGGTACTGCTTTCTAGAATGCTCAAAAGCAGCTCCAGCAGAGCACGCACCTCCACCTGCCCCTGCGAGCCCATGGTCTGTCCGAGCGAGCTGCCAGGCACCACCACGGCCGCCCTGCCTCCGAACCCAAACGCCAGCAGCGTGTGCGGCGGGCGGCCCGCAGACGACAGCACCGCCTCCGCTGTGCTGGTGGGCGGCACGTGGTTGTACTGCACCGGCTGGTACTGCTGCTGGTGCTGATCGTACAGCCCGTACTGGTACCCTTGCTGGTACCCCTGGTACCCCTGTGCATACCCCCCAACTCCTGCCGACTGCTGTGCTTGTTGCTGCTGCTGCTGCTGTGAGTATGGGGCGGATGGTACCATGAGCCCCACTGCAGGCTTCCCTGCCGTGCCTGGCACCCAGGGGGCGTGTAGCTGGGGCTGGCTGTACCCAGGGTCCGGCTGGCTGTAGCGCGAGCCTGCAGGGCCGTACCCAGGGTCAGGCTGAGACGACCCACCAGGGTAGCTGCTGCCGCCCTGCACCTCTGCTGCGCTGCCCTCCCCCCATGGGGCGGGCGCGGGCAGGAACGGCTGTGGCTGCATGGACACTGGCGGCTGCTGCAGCGGCTGCGAGGAGGTGGGGGCGAGCAGGCTGTCTGCTGTGGGAGGGTACGAGGATGCACCCTCTGCTGCCACTGCCTCCCCATTAACCCCTGCTGCTGCTGCACTCTGTGCTGCCACTGCCTCTGTACTGCCATACTCTGTGGCTTGTGTTTGCCCCTCCCCTTCCTGTGCCTGCTGCTGCTGCTGGTAGTACCAAGCATTGTAAGCATCATACTCCGTCTGCCCCCACTGGCTCCAATCCTGCTGCGCCCATGCCCCTGCCTCGCCCGCCCCTGCTCCACCTGCCATCTCGCCTCCTGCAATTGCACCGGCTGCACTCACTGCTGAAGCCGCACCTGCCTCTACTCCCTGTGCGTCATCCTCCCCACCTGCCTCTGCGCTTGCAGCAAGAGCAGTCCCAGGCGCATGCGCGTCCTCAGTTGCAGGAGCAAGAGAGTCCGGAGGCGGGGCGAGGCCAGGGAGGGGGGGAGCTGCCTCAAACGACAGCTGCATGCCAGGTTCGCCCTGAGACGCCCCCGCACTGCCTGAGTCTGCTGCAGCTCCCCCCTCTGCCTCCCCTTCCTTGGGCACCGTCTCTTCAAACTGAGCCCACTCATCCGCCTCCGCCGCCCCAACGCCTGCACCTTCCGCACCCACACTGCCTGCACTCTCCCCCCCTGTTACCACACTGCCAGCCACCGCTGCTGCCTCGTCCCCTGCGCCACTCACCGCCTCCACAGCGGCAGCAGTAGCTTCGTCTGCAGCAGCAGCTGCGCCTGCACCAGAAGGCACCTGCTCGTCTGTGGGCAGCCACTGACCCACCACAGGGTCCCACCTCCACCCCGGGTACTCGGTTGCTATCACTCCCCCCTCTGCCCCACCTTCAACGACCCCTGCCTCCCCACCCAGACCCTCCATGCCTGAGCTCTCTGCTGCTTCACCCAACGCCTCCACTGCAGCTGTCTCTGCGGCCTCGCCCTCAGTCATAGCTGCCACTGCCGCCACAGCTTCAGCCCCATCAGCAGCAGACTCTGGCTGGTCATCCGGCACCCACTGTCCAATAAGGCCATCCCAGCGCCACCCGGGGTACTGCAGCGCGATGGCCTCCCCCCCTGCTGCTGCTGCGCTGCTGCTGCCCGCCGCATCGCCAGCCCCCTCTGCTGCTGCTGCGCCATCTGCTGCTGCTGGCGTTGCCTCGCCCACCTGCCGCCACTCGCCTGTCACTGCATCCACCACCCACCCCGGGTACTCCGTCGCGATAACGCCATCCCCAGCTGCCTCCCCACCCACCGCGAATGCCTCCGTCTCTGCTTCTGCCTCTGCCTGTGCCTGTGCCTGTGCCTGTGCCTCTCCACCCGCCACCTCAGCCCCAGCGACCTCACCTGCCGCACGCAACAGTGATGCGCTTATCCCACCCGCATTCTCCTTCCCACCTTCAGCCCCCATCCCACTCGCCGTACTTCTCTCACCCCAATCCCCAAAATCAGCTTCTGTCGACCCACCCACTGCTTCCCAAGGGGCTGCCACAGCAGCTGCCTCCACCACCTCCTCCTTCCAAAAAACGCCTCCTGCGCCTGCTGTACCCTCCTCTCCTGCTAATCCTTCTTGTCCTGCCGTTTCCTCTTGCCCTGCTATATCCTCTGCCACAACAGCCGCCTCAGGCACGCATGCATCCGCCTCAGTTGCCAATGGTTCCACAGCCGGCCCCGAGTCCGCTGACAGGTCCTGCTCCTCAAATACCCCGTCGCTCTCTCCCATCCCTATCGCCGCCCCTGTTACTGTTGCATCTACTGCTGCTGCTGCTGCAGCTTCTGCCTCAGGCACTGCATCGCCTTCTTCGCACCCACTCACTGCAGCTGTAGCAGCGTCTGCTCCCGTGACCTCAACTTCTCCACCAGCGTCAGCTGCTTCAGCCGCATCTGCTACAGCGGGCTGCTCGCCTGTGGGCACCCACTGGCCCGTGAGAGGATCCCACATCCACCCAGGGTACTGCGTTGCTATCGCCTCATACCCTCCTGCCTCCGCGCCCTCTGCCTCTGCCGCCACCACTGCTGCCATCCCTGCGCCGCCCTCTCCCACTGCCTCCTCTGCACCACCTGCGCCCACCCCCAGCGCCTCCCCATAGCCTCCCTCCGCGGGCCCTGCGTCCGCCCAGAAGGGCTCCACGGAAGCACCCTCCGCCTCTGCTGTGAGTCCAGCTGCCGTCTCCTCAGCACCCACACTAGCAGCAACACCAGCAGCAGCAACAGCCGCATCAACTGCTGCTGCATCTGCCACTGCATCCAGCGCCTGCAGCCCGTCTGTCCACCCCTCCACCGCTTCTTCCCCTACGTGCTGCCCTCCCTCTCCCTCTTCTGTCCCCACAACTGCCTCCGAAACCTCATCCACCTCTGGAGCACTGACCTCAGCTTCAGCTACAGCCTCAACACCAACATCCGCAAATCCGTCTGCCTCCGCCTTGCCATCTGCCTCCCCGCCTGCACTACCTGCCTGCCCCTCCATCGCCTCCCCACCTGCCTCACTCACCATGTGCCCCTCCGCCTCAAACCCCACAAACGACCCCTCCACGCCCCCCTCAACCGCCTCTGCTGCCCAGTCTACCGCTGCCCCACTCACCTCACTCTCAGGCCACCCCTCCCCCGCCACCACGGCTGCTGCCCCCCCTGCTTGACCCCCGACTGCCATTCCTTCCGCGCCTACCAGAGCCACATTCTCGCCCATGTCATCAGCAACAGCATAGCCAGCAGTAGCAGAGTCGGCAGCAGCAGATTCGGCAGCTACAGCTGGCTGCTCGCCTGTGGGCACCCACTGGCCCGTGAGAGGATCCCACATCCACCCGGGGTACTGCGTTGCAATTGCCTCACTTCTCGCTGTCTCCGCACCCTCAGTGAATGCACTCACCACTGCACCCGCTGCTGTTGCCTCACTGCCTGCCCCATCTGCCTCCCATCCCTGTGCCTCCAATGCTTCTACTCCTGCTGACAACACTTGCTCCTCTGGCGCCAGGTACTCTGCTGAACTCCCTGCGGGATCCTCAATTCCACTCTCAGCTGAATCCAATACCTGCGTTGCAACTGCCTCACTCTGACTACCGTCGACCTCTGCACCCCCTGCTGCTGCACCGCTCATTGCCTCTGGTGGTGCAACCCGCATGCCCTCCTCTCCCGCTGCTGCATCCACCACCTCTTCCCCCCCTGCTTCCATCCACTCCGACCCCTCGACTACAGGCTCCCTTGCTTCTTGCCCCGGGACCCACTCCTGCTCCCCTGCAGTGGACTCACTTAATGCCACGCCTGCCGCCACTGCACCTTCAGCTACAGTCTCCGCTCCTACAGCCTCCACCGCTACAGCCTCTACTGTTAACGCCGTTCCAGCAGAAGCATCAGCCAAGTCTGGAGAAGCGTCAGCCCCATCTGCAGCAGCACCTGTCGCAGAAGACTCTGGCCGGTCGTCCGGCACCCACTGGCCCAGCAGGCCATCCCAGCGCCACCCGGGGTACTGCAGCGCGATGGCCTCCCCCCCTGCTGCCTCACCGCCAGCCCCATCTGCTGCTGTTGGCGCCGCCTCGCCCACCTGCCGCCACTCGCCAGTAACAGCGTCCACCACCCACCCCGGGTACTCCGTCGCGATAACCCCCGACTCACCAACTGCCGCTGCCTCTACTCCCTGGCCCTCCACCTGCTGGTGCCCCTCCTGTTGCTGCTCGTTCTCCCATGCCGCTTCACCTGCCATCTGCCCCTGCTCCCCCATCCGCACGTCAGCATCCCCCTGCCCCGCGCCTCCCTCTGCGTCAAACGCATCATGCCCACTCTCGCCCACACCACCCGCACTTCCCACTTCCATACCCGCTGCGTCCGTCACCGCAGCCCGTTCCTCAGCAACCTCCGCCCCCCCTGCCTCGCCTCCCTCACACACACGCAGCTCCTCCCCACTATCCATCCCCGCGCCCACCTGAGTGAGCTCAGAGGAGAGCGGGGGAACGGTGGGTTGGGAGTCAGGAAGGAGAGGCAGAGGAGGAGCGGCATCGAAGGACAGGGGCTGCAGAGCAGGACTGACTGGCAGCTGCTCACCCCCGCCCACTCCTGTAACCCCCTCCTGCACACTGCTCTCTGCCTGCTCCTTGCCTTGTTCACCTTCTGCCATCAGAACTGGCTGAAGCTCAGATGTACCGGCAGCAGCTGAATCCCCCTCGACCATCTCAGCCTGACGTATCTCCTCCACATGCATTCCCTCTGCTCCATCCCACCCACCCGCCATCGCCTCTCCTGCTCCTTGCCATGCCTCTGCGTGTGGTGCGTCAGACCAAGCGGCTGAAGGATCAGCGACCAACGACTCACCCACCGCTGCCTCTGCTTCGGGAGGAACCTGCTCTAATGACACTGCCTCCATCACGGCATGCTCCGTGGCGTCTGCTGCTGTAGCGTCGCCTGCTGCTGCTGCTGCTGCTGCAGGATCTGCTTGTGCTGCAGCAGAGGCATCTGCTACAGCAGCGGTGTCAGCAGCAGCAGGTGGCACATAGCCTTCGATCTGCCTCCATTCGCCTGCCACGATGAGCGAGAGGTACAACACGAGAGGGAAAGTATGCGGAATGTAGGGCCAGAGCAAGAGAATTATTAAACCTCACGCCCCTACAAATGCAGCAAGAAGAAGAAAAAATCAAACGGATGGCATAGGTTGCACCATCGCTGTCACAAAGCACTGACGACGGACAGTCCCCTTCTCACCTGCTACGTAGTCCCAGTACCAGCCAGGGTACGCCTCTGCCCACTGCCGCTGCTGCTCCTCCCACTGTTCCGCTGTCAACTCCCCCTGACCTGCATACTGCCCGTCTCCCTGCCCCCCATACTGGCCCTCCACCTGCCCGCCATACTGTCCCTCGCCCTGGCCTGCATACTGCCCCTCGCCCTGCCCCCCACTCGCGTGCTGCCATCCAGCCTGGCCATCCTCATATGCCTGCCACGCTTGCTCCCCCACTGTCTGATCACCTGCTCCACTCCACTGCCCTTCTCCCCCCTCCACGCCATCTCCACTTACCATCGCTCCACCGGCCCCCTCATCACCTCCCTCCACGGCTGTATCAAGTGCGGTGGCATCAGAACCAACACCAGGAGCCGTGGCTTCCCCCTGCCCATCCACACCGTCTACCAGGTCAGCCCCAACAGCTTCAGCGCCAGTACCAGCACCAGCACCAGCATCAGCATCTCCATCAGTATCAGCATCAGCAGACATGAACCAGGCCGCCGCATCCTCCTCCTCCCGCTCCTCCAGCTGCCCGCCCTCCTCCCCACTCTTCCCCCCACCCACGCCAACACCACCCTCCACAACCCTAGCAGGCCCTGACTCCGCGGATCCTGAACCAGCAGCGCCCAGTGCACCCACACCCGGCAACAGCTGCTGCGTGGCTCCTGCAAGGGCAGCAGCGGCGGCGGCAGGTGGGGCAGGGCGGACGGCATCGCGGTCCACAGCAGCAAAGAAGGCGGCAGCGTCCTCCTCACTGGCAGTGGCCTTGAGCAGGCGGGTGGCAGCAGCTGACACTGCAGACGCCACCGACGCCATCATGGGCGCCCCCAGCCGCACTGCACTGCCGCTCGCCAGCGCTGCCATCACATCCTCTTCTTCCTCCTCGTCCTCGTCCTCCTCCTCCTCGTCCGCCAGTCCTCTCTGCAGCATGGCCAGTACACCCACCTCGCCCGACGCCCCCCCATCTGCGCCCCCCTCGTCCGGGTCCTCCCCCACGCCCCCAAAGTCCATGCTCACTAGGTCCTCCCACCCCAGCTGCTTCCTCCCCCCAGCTCCTCCTGTCTCCCTGCCGCTAGCCCCGCCCTTTGCCCCAACATCTGCCGCGCTCTCGCCACCCTCGTCTCCTTCGCCCATCCAAGAAGCAAAGCCAGCTGCGCTCGCCGCACCCCATGTGGGCTTGGCGCCGTCAGCAGCAGCAGCAGCAGCAGGTGCTGCTGGGGCAGCGGAGGCGGCAGTGGCTGGGTCCGCAGCTGCGCCTCCCAGCATGGAGAGCACGGGCATGGCGAGGCCCTTGAGGGCCAACGCGCCTGTACAGGGGCCAGAGGAAAGGGGCGCATGAGACACGATATGTTGGTAGGGGGACTGGTGTCAGCTACAATGCAGTGAATGGGCTCACATGCACGCTCATGCAGGCACACTCACACATGCACTCACAAATGAACACTCTCACATTTCTACATGAACACATGCCAAGCGCCACAGGCAACGAGGCCACTCAGCGCACCTTGGTTGATGACCTGCGAGCCCAGCTTAGCGCCAGGGCCCTCGCGCCCTGCGCCAGCCTTGTCAAACAGACTGCGGATCTTGCTCTCATTGTCCTCCCCCACACCGTCCCCTCCCCGCCCGCTAACAGCTCCACCCACGCCCTCCTCTTTCACATCACCCCCCCCGCCCAGCACCCCCTGCCCATCCTGCCCGCCCTGCACGCCTTCCCTGCGCGCGCCTGCACCATCCCCTGCCTCCTCCCCGGGCTGCGCCGTCAGCAGCACGTCAGACGACCACGCAGACACGTCAGACGCCGCCTTCACCAGCGAACCCAGCAGCGGCCACGTGCCCTCCCTCCGCCCCCCCGCTGTCGCCGGCCGCGCCATGCGCGCGCCCACTCCCCCCACCCCGAACCCGCCCCACGCACCCCCGCCCAGGCCTCCCCACCCTTCCCCGTGCTGCCTCAATCCCTGCGCGCCCGCCTCTCCGCTCATGGCAGCGGATCCAACGCCCTGGAAGCTGCTGGTGCGCGCATACGCGCGCTCCCCCAGGGGCCTCTCCGCAATGAATCTGTCCGCGATCCCCCAGTCTTCACCCTCGTCTATGCTCCCCCACCCGTCACCCTCTCCCGCCCAGCCCTCGCCATGCCCTCCGCCCCCGCCCTTCTTGCTCTGCCCCTTCCGCTGCTCGCCGTTGGCCTCCTCGCCTGCAGCCAGCCGCGCAGCCGCGCCAGCAGCCACGTCAGCATGAGTGCGACCCACCTTGGCGCCACCCTCCGCAGCATACCCGGCAGGGCCTTCCCGCCCGTTGGCACACGCGCTGCCAGCCAGCCCACCGCCTTCAGCAGCGGGCCTCGTGCGCTGCTTCCTCATCTCCTGCGCCTGCTCCTCCGCCTGCCTCTCCCTCTCCCTCTCCCTGCGCTCCATCTCTTGCCTCTCGCGCTCCTTCTGCTCGCGCTCCCTGCGCTGCTGCTCCAAACGCTCCTGCCTCTCCTGCTCCCTCCTCTCTCGTTCTCGTCGCAACTGCTCCTGTCGATCCTTCTTCTTCCTCTCTTCCTCTCGCCGAAGCCACTCGTGCCGTTCTCGCTCCTTCCGTTCCTCTTCCTTCCTTAATTCCTCCTGCCGCTCCCTTTCTTTCCGTTCCTGTTCCTTGCGCCTCTCCTGCTCCTTCTTCTCCTCCTCGATCCGCTCCTGCTCCCGCTTTTCCCACTCTAACCGTTCTCTCTCTGCCTTCAGTTTCTCTTTCCGCTCCATTTCCTTCCGCCTTTGCTGCTCCTGTTCCTCCTTCTGCCTTCTCTCTAGCTCTTTCCTTACCTTCTCCTCTCGCTCCCTTTCCTCTCTCTTCTCCTTATCCAATCGTTCCTTCTCCAATCGTTCCTTCTCCAATCGTTCCCTCTCAATCCGTTCCTTCTCCATCCGTTCTTGCATTTGCTTCGCTGTCTTCTCCTGCTCCTCTCTCTCCTCCTTTTCACGCTCGATTCTTAACTGTTCCTGTTTCTCCATCTCCCTCCTTTCCTCTTCTTTTTGCAAAAGATCCAGCCGCTCCTTTTCCTCCCTCTCCTGCTCCAACCTAAGCTGCTCCAGTCGTTCTTCCTTTTCCTTCCTCTCCTGCTCGGCTTTTAACTGCGCCTCCCTCTCCCTTTGCTTCCTCTCTTGCTCTGCTCTAAGCCGCTCAAGCCGCTCCTTCTCCTTTCTCTCGCGCTCAGCCCTAAGCTGGTCCTGTCGCTCCTTCTCCTTCCTCTCCTTCTCCCTTCGCTCCTCTTCCAACCGCTCCCTCTCCCTCCTCTCCTCCTCCTTCCGCAACTGCTCCAACCGCTCGCGCTCCTGTTGCTCCCGCTCCTTCCGACTCTCCTCCTCCAACTGCCGCTGCTTCTCCCGCTCCCTCGCCTGCTCCATCTGCGCATCCCTCGCCTGCTGCTCCTCCGCCGCCTGCGCCTGCTTCTCACCGCCAGGCCCGCCGCCACTGCTCGCAGCACTCAGCTGCGGCGCGGACAGCCGTCTGGGCACGGCCCCCAGCAGCCTGCCTTTGCCTGCGGGCTTGCCTCCAAGCCGGGGCGACGTTAGCTTGCGCGCGGCGGGCGCGGAGGAGGAGGAGGTGGAGGAGCAGGACGAGGTGGGGGATGCCGGCGCGAGGGGAACGGGTGGCGCGGGTGCCGCTGACGCGAGCGGGGAGTCGAAGAATGGCACAGCCGCGGGGGGGAGGAGAGGTGCGGCGACGGCGGCGGAGGACGAGGCGGGGCGAGGGGGTGCGAGTGGAGCATCCGCGCGCAGATCGTCCGCGTCGTCGAAGCCCAGAAACGCACTCGCTGCCGGCTCCGCGTGATTCGACGGAACGGAAGACATCGGAAGCGCAACAGGTGTAGCCGAAGGTGCTGGCGCTGCAGCGGGAATGCCATTAGCGGGGATAGATGCGACGAATGGGGCACCCGTGAGAGTAGACAGGCTGACACTTCTGCCGCTGCTGGTGCTGCTGCTCGCCGCGGTGGCAGGAGCGTTGTTGGAAGCATTAGGGGTTGCTGCGGGTGAGGGAGTGATCGCGGAGCGAGCGACGAGCGGCTTGCCTTTGACGAGCGACGACCGCGACGCCTTGCCGGAGAGCCCGATGATCTTAATCGGCGTGGCCGCGGCACCCGCGGCGGACGACGAAGCACCGTGCGGAGCGGAAGCTGCGGCGCGGGGAGCGGGAGCAAACGCGGGAGGAACCGCGCCTTGCGCTTGCGACGATGTCGCGGTGGAGGGTTGATGATGTGCTGTTGACGATCTGTTAGTCGAAGCGACGACAGATGTCGTTGGAGTCGCATCTGTCGCATGCGATGTCGCATTGGACGACGACGGTGCGACGGATTGCGAAAGTCCTTTCTTGGAAGCAGCTATTGCTCCTCGCTTCGCAGTTGCGTGCGGAGGGTGCGCGGGGTCCGTCGCTGCAAGCAGATGCTGCTTCGCGGATTCCGGCAGCAACACGTCGAGCGGATCTGCCGGATGCACGTCCCGGATCGACGGATGCCGATGTGAATCCGACGGTTGAGATCCGAAGGTGGAATGGGTTCGGGTCGCTTGACTGCCATCGATCGCAGCAGGCAGAGCGTGCGATGCCGCGTGGAATCCGCGAGGTACGGACTGAGGAGATTCGTGCTGCGCGGGAGGAGCAGGAGGGTCTTGATGTGCGAATCCCGTGGACACGTATGTCGCTCCCGATCCATCTGACCACGTCGCGAGAGGCTTGGCGCTCAGCCTGACTGCGCCAAGACCTCCTCCCCCCGGTTTCTTCTTTCGAGCGATCGGCGGCATGGCTACCCTACTGTCCTACGGTCCACCGAAAGAAAATAAGAACTCGAGAAAGACGAAATAGGATGCCATGGGAAGGAAGGCGAGGAACATAGTAGGTGCATATGTCTGCCAGATGACCTGGATGTTGGTGCAATCTCGAGAATTGGCAGATCTGACATGCCCCCCAGCCTTGAGCTTGTCAGGAGGGGTGAGCAGTTCGTCAGAACAGGTCCAATGTTACGAGTGCAATTGAGTGAGCGAGCGAGAATTGCACTAACGAAGGACAACAGTAAAATCAGAGAAGGCATGAGCTAAGAATATATAGCGAAGCTACGGTGGTAACGGTAATGCGTGAAATTGGGGTGCGCGACAGGCCTGGCGCCGAGGTTGGGAATTGTCGAGGCGGTTGGGTCGCGGCGTGAACAGTGGCGAGAACAGTAGTCGAGATGAGTGGTAACGGTGTACTGTTGGGGACTGTTGGCGGGAATAGTCATGTACACGCTGAGCAGGGACACTAAGTAAAGAAAATGATTTTTCATAACACCACCCCCCCCCCCCCCCCCCCCCAAAGGAGGTCCTCCTTACGAAAGCGCGTGTACATCTCGGAAATTGCGGCTGCGCAGGTACTCGGTAAGGACGGGGTGGTTTTCAATTCTGTCCAGAAGAACCTTGTTGTTTCGAGTGAGCGTGCGGTTTTTCCAGCGGATCAGAATTTCGATCCTGCGAGCTCCCCGTGGGTCACGAACTCGGTGGCTCAAGATTTTCTTAGGCGTTATGATAGGCCCAAACAAGCGCAGCCACGTGACCCGGCGGAAGAAAAACGCTCGGACCGAGAGCCGTACCCCTAAAACACGGAAGGATCCGCACACGTGCAGGAAGTAAAGCAGCCGCTCTTCTTTTGCGAACGCCGATGGCCAATGATGCTCGCAACCCTCCCACGCCCTTGCTGGCTTGGTAATAGGCCAAGAAAAGGGCAGCCACGTGACCCAACGAAAAAAAAATACTCGTAATGAACACTTCCAGCCCCAAAATGCGGAAGGATCCGCATACGTACAGAAAGTGCAGCGAGCGCTCTTCATTCGCGAGCGCCGATAACCGATGATGCTCGCAACCCTCCCACGCCCTTGATGGCTTGAAAATAAGCCCAGAAAAGCGCAGCCACGTGACCTGGCGGGAGAAAAACGCTCGGAAAGAGCGCATCCAGCCCCAAAACGCGGAAGGATCTGCACACATGCAGGAAGTGCAGCGGGCGCTCTTCATTCGTGAGCGCCGATAACCGATGATGCTCGCAACCCTTCCACGCCCTTGCTAGCTTGGTAATAGCACAGCCACGTAACCCGGCAGAAGAAAAACGCTCGGAAAGTGCGCTTCCACCCCCAAAATGTGGAAGGATCCGCACACGTGCAGGAAGAGCAGCGGGCGCTCTTCATTCGCGAGCGCCGATGACCGATGATCCTCGCAACCCTTCCACGCCCTTGCTGGCTTGGTAATAGGCTTAGACCAGCGCAGCGACGAGACCCGGCGCAAGAAAAACGCTCGGAACGAGCGCTTCCATCCCCAAAGCGCGCAAGGATCCGCACACGTGCAGGAAGTGCAGCGGATGCACTTCATTCGCGAGCGCCGATGACCGATGATGCTCGCAACCCTCCAACGCCCTTGTTTTTTGGTAGTAGGCCCAAACAAGCGCAGCCACGTGACCTGGCGGAAGAAAAATGCTCGAAACGAGCACTTCCAGTCCCGAATGCGGAAGGATCCGCACACGTGCAGAAAGTGCAGCGAGTGCTCATCATTCGCGAGCGCCGATAACTGATGATGCTCGCAACCCTCCCACGCCCTTGTTGTTTGGTAATAGGCCCAGAAAAGCACAGCCATATGACCCGGCGGAAGAAAAACGCTCGGAACGAGCGCTTCCAGCCCCAAACGTGGAATGATCCGCGCATGGGCAGGAAGTGCAGCGGGCGCTCTTCATTCGCGATTGCTGATGACCGATGATGCTTGCAAGCCTCCCACGCCCTTGCTGGCAGTCACATGACCCGGCGGAAGAAAAACGCTCGGAACGGGCGCCCGTACCCCCCAAACGCGGAAGGATCCGCACACGTGCACGAAGTGCAGCGTTTGCTCTTCATTCATGAGCGCCGATGACCGATGATGCTCGCAACCCTCCCACGTTCTTGCTGGCTTGGTAATAGGCCAGGACAAGCGTAGCCACGTGACCCGGCGGAAGAAAACGCTCGTAACGAGCACTTCCAGCCCCAAAACGCGAAGGATCCGCACACTTGCAGGAAGTGCAGCGGGCACTCTTCATTCGCGAGCGCGGATGACCGATGATGCTCGCAACCCTCCCACGCCCTTGCTGGCTTGGTAATAGGCCTAGACAAGCGCAGCCACGTGACCCAGTGGAAAAAAACCGCATGGAACGAGCGCTTACAGCGCCAACACGCTGAAGGATCCGCACACTTGCAGGAAGTGCAGGGGTGCTTATTATTCGCAAGCGCCAAAGACCAATGATGCTCGCAACCCTCCCACGCCCTTGTTGGCTTGGTAATATGCCTACACAAGCGCAACCACATAACGCGGCGGAAGAAAAACGTTCAGAACGGGCCCCCGTAGCTCCCAAAGGCGGAAGGATCCGCACACGTGCACAAACAGCGGGTGCTCTTCATTTGCGAGCGGCGATGACCGATGATGCTTGCAACCCTCCCACGTTCTTGCTAGCTTGGTAATAGGCCAAGGAAAGCGTAGCAACGTGACCCGGCGTGTGCAAAATTGCAAGAACAAGGACCTAGCGTGCGCAAAATTGCAAGACCAAGGGCCCAGCGTGTGCAAAATAGCAAGAACAAGGGGCTAGCGTGTGCAAAATTTCAAGAACAAGGGCCTTGCGTGTGCAAAATTGCAAAATAAAGGGCCTTAAGTGTGCAAACTTTCAAGAACAAGGGCCTAGCGTGTGCAAAATTTCAAGAAAAAGGGCCTAGCGAGTGCAAAGTTGCAAGAACAAGGGCCTAGCGACTGCAAAATTGAAAGAACAAAGGCCTAGTATGTGCAAAATAGCAAGAACAAGGGCCTATCGTGTGCAAACTTGCAAGAACAAGGGTCAAGCGTGTGCAAACTATCAAGAACAAGGGCCTAGCCAGTGCAAAATAGCAAGAACAAGGGCCTAGCGTGTGCAAAATAGCAAGAACAAGGGCCTAGCGTGTGCAAAATTGTAAGAACAAGGGCCTAACGTGTGCAAAATTGCATGAACAAGGGCCTAACGTGTGCAAAATTTCAAGAACAAGGGCCTAGCGTGTGCAAAATAGCAAGAGCAAGGGCCTAGCGTGTGCAAAATTGCAAGAACAGGGGCCTAGCGTGTGCAAAATAGCAAAAACAAGGGCCTAGCGTGTGCAAAAATAACAAGAACAAGGGCCTAACGTGTGCAAAATTGCAAGAACAAGGGCCTAGCGTGTGCAAAATTGCAAGAATAAGGGCCTAGCGTATGCAAAATAGCAAGAACGATGGCCTAGCGTATGCAAAATTACAAGAACCTGGGCCTAGAAGGCGCAAAATTGCAAGAATATGGGCCTAGCGTGTGCAAAATTGCAAGAACAAGGGCCTAGCGAGTGCAAAGTTGCAAGAACAAGGGCCTAGCGACTGCAAAATTGAAAGAACAAAGGCCTAGTGTGTGCAAAATAGCAAGAACAAGGGCCCATCGTGTGCAAACTTGCAAGAACAAGGGTCAAGCATGTGCAAACTATCAAGAACAGGGGCCTAGCCAGTGCAAAATAGTGAGAACAAGGGCCTAGCGTGTGCAAAATAGCAAGAACAAGGGCCTAGCGTGTGCAAAATTGTAAGAACAAGGGCCTAACGTGTGCAAAATTACAAGAACAAGGGCCTAACGTGTGCAAAATTTCAAGAACAAGGGCCTAGCGTGTGCAAAATTGCAAGAACAAGGGCCTAGCGTATGCAAAATTGCAAGAACGATAGCCTAGCATATGCAAAATTACAAGAACAAGGGCCTTGCGAATGCAAAATTGCAAGAACAAGGGCCTAGCGTGTGCAAAATTTCAAAAATATAGGCCTAGTGTGTGCAAACCTTCAAG